AATTTGCTTAAACCATTCGTAGGAGACGAGCAAGTTAATTTTGCATTTTTAGTATGCTGGTCAAATTAATCTCATACTATGACGGATATTAAACTTAACTTCTCATTCCTCTTTGATTTATATCTACTTGTAAAAAAAAATTAATAATAATAATTTCAGTACATATATAAAATTGGACATTTAGTATTTAATTACCGGTTGTTTAGTTGTGCTTTTGCGGTATTTTTTAAGTAATGCATTTATTATTATTGTTATTATTTGGCTTTTTGTTGGCTTGCTAACCTTTGATTTCGACTATGTTGGCCACGAAAGGATTTTGCTAAGCCAACAAAAACAAAAGGACAAACGCATACAAGGCTTTCATGATTTTTGACGATTTCTAAACCTAGTTAATTAGTTAGAAACAGTCATATCAGAAACTAATTGAAACATGACTTTATCCTATCTCACCAATAAAATTATTAGCTATACAATAAACTAGCAATACACAAACACCATATACATGCTTCGAAACAAAAACCTCCATAACAAAAATACTTCTATGTCATTGTCATTTTGATAAAATAGTCATTTCCGATATAGTAGCAAGAGAAAGTATGAACGGATTCTATTGGCAAAACCGTATCACCTTAGCAAATTTGTGAGTCTAAGGACAATCATGCGTTCTTATAGAACCTATCCTACATACATACAAAGGGAAAAACTTATCTCATGTAAAATAAATAAATAAAAGATAAGTAATATAGAAAATAATTCACTGCATGCATTATTCAACTAACTTACATGACTTGCTAGTTCCTTTTTTACCTTCTATCGATAATGCTGATACATGGTGTCCTTTCCAAAAGTTCCAACTTGTAACTCACCATGAATTCTATGGCAATAATGTAATTTTGACAAAACTAGGGATAATAACATTCTCCATCGTTGTAAGTGTAAAAAACTAGTTATCTTCTTTTGCTTCGAGTGTTTTTCCCATATTAAAATCTATCGGATAGGTTGCATCAAGAATTTACCACCTCTTTTATACATGAACCATTTAGGTCATCCAAGTAAAATATATTTGCTAACAACTAAAACCAAAATTAGCTAATGTGAATAGTGGTGATTGATTATTCTTAATTTCCCATGTCATAAAGAATCTAAGAAATGAAGATTTGGTCGCTTCTAGATTTGGCTTCTTTCTTCTTTTAAAGAAAACATGTGTTATCCATTCTTTTAACTTCACTCTCTCATCTTCTCATGTGCGATTTGAGATTGTAGATCATTACAATTTCATACTATAAAAAATCCATAATTTCTCCTTTTTTCTAATATCCATAAATTCATATTTCAAAAGAAAAGTTTTCATAAATCTATTGAATGTTTTACATTTAAAATATGTCAATATAGAAAGAGTTTATCAACTCACCGAATATAGAATTTACGAGAGGCCAATATATATAGTAGCTTGTGAAAGCTAGAGATAACTACAAAAAGTATAAGATAAGTTACGGGAAATAAAGGATAACTACGGAAAGTATAATTCTAGTAAACCTCTATTAGTTACAAGAAGTATACAATGATAGTTATCTTTATCACCCTCTCACAAGTTAAACAATATCATAATGGACACGCAACTTGAAACGTAACTCATGGAACAATGATCCGGATAACATTTTTGTAAGAATATTTGCAATTTGATCATGGGTAGGCAAGTAGTAGACTTGTAGTTGACCATTACAAACTTTATCACACTAAATGAAAATCAATTTCCAAGTGCTTCGACCTTTAATGAAAAATGGTTGTTGTTATGAGGTATATGGTCGAAACATTATCACATCAAAGTTTTGGTGGTCAAGTAGTAGATATACCGATCTCCTTCATCAAAGATTCAATCCATTCAACCTCGAGCAAGCTGTAGTCAAAGCATGATATTCGGCTTCGGTGGACGAATGAACAACGGTGTGTTGTTTCCTAGATCGTCATGAAATCAAATTTTGACCAAGATAAATAGCATAACCAAATGTGCTTTTACAAAATAAAAGGAAAAACCTATTTCTTAAATTAGACATGACGTGAGATAAATAATTTTATGCTTGAAATGGAATAACAAATATAACCTTTATGTACTTTATCGTAGCTTAAGGAAACACAAACGGAAGAGTGTGAGGCTAGTTTATGGTGAGCATGTGGGCCTAAAAAAGGATAACATAAGCAACCAAAAATTTTGAGTTCATTGTATAATGGGGGCGCTCCAAAAATAATGGAGTGATGCGAGTTATTTTGTAAGTGGGGCATAAGAAGTCCGTTTATGGTGTAAATAGTTGTATCAAAGGCATAGGTCCGGAAGGATAGTAGGATAGAGGCATGATAAAGAAGAGCTAATCCAGTTTCAACTATATGGTGATGTTTGCGCTCGAGGCTACCATTTTATTTAGTTATTTTTGGATAGTCACTTCTCTAAAAAATGTCATTTTCATTTAGATATTTAATTAATGCTTGATATTCACTTCCTTGGTTAGATTGAAATTGTTTAATTGATTTGTCAAAAAAAAAAAATCAACCGGATGCCTAAATTTAATGAAAGTGTTAGGAACTTCGGATTTATAACGTAGGAAAAACAACTAATAATGTTTGCTAAAATGATAGTAAAAAAGCATATAATAAAAATAATCATCAACTGAAGGTACAAGGAAAGGACCCCAAACATCTAAACAAACTAATTCTAATGGTTCTTTTGTTAAAAAATTAGATTAAGGAAATTATAACTTATGAATTTTGCTTATACTATAAGCATGACATAAGGAAGAATCTTTTAAATAAGGAATATGTATTCCAAAGTGTTTCAAGGTATGGTGAACAATCTAAGTTGATGCATGACCAAGAAAAGTCTGCCAAGTAGATAGAGAAGTAATGTGAGCTTGAATAGAAGGATGATGAACCATCATTGTATTGGTGGAGATTGTGTAGAGCCGGTAGACCTTTATGGATAATGTCCTGTGTAGCCAAGTCCTTTATCAAAAAAGTTTCGGGAAAAAATTTAATAAAATAAGAATTATGTTTATATTTGGTAAAACTACTAACGGATAAAAGATTTTGACTACTTGAAAGAACATGTAAAATATTATTAAGATGAAAAGTAGGATTACAAATTCGAAAGAGAGAAAAAACAAGATGAGAAATAGGAACATGTTTACCATTGGTTAATTGCACTTCCTCTAGGCTAAAGTCCTCACTATGAATGACAAGATTTTCCAAGTACACTATCAAATGATGAGTAGCACCCGTGTCCATAATCCATTGAGAGTTGGGTGTGACGAGAGGTGAAATGAGCAAAGTGAAAGGAAGGCTTTGGTTGATGGGTAGATTAGCATGATTTTAAGGATGGACGGACATTTGCAAGATGACCATTACCTTTATAATTATAGCGAGACCACACTACTTGGAATTATAATTCATATCACTATGATAAGTAAGTTTTGGGCGAGAACTATATGTGAAATGAAGCTCACCACGACGATCTCAACTATGAGTTGGGTACTGATAGCTAGTATAATATACTGAAATTAGAACTTCTATAAGCTGAATAATGCCATGAAGTTGGAATTATCCACTAAAAGCAAGACAATAAAGAGTCTAATAAGACATAACTTTGTGAAGAAATTCAATTACTCGTATGAAAGGCCTATAGAGAGGACCAAAGCCAATGAGTAAGGCTTGAACAAGGTCGTCCATAGGAATTAGAGAGCTAAGAGAATAGAGGACATCAAAAATGATTTTCCCACGTTGAAAGTACTACTGAATAAATTCGGTTGTCCTTTAGACAAGATGATTGAGGTTGCTTTTTAGGTGATTAATCTATGTTCTAATGACGGATCCATATGCAATCTGTCAATTTTATCTAAGCCTCATCATGACGTTCTTAATTGACAAAAGATGGGTTTGGTTTGTTATTGTCAAGCGAAGGATTCGATAGAGGATAAGATCTATCGATGAAGAAGACCATGACATCGTAAGAGAGGGTGAAGTTGTGTTTGTCGTAGAATGAAATTGGTAGAGATAAGTTTGAGAGTATATGGGTTATGGAGATCGGGAAGAGATGTTGGAACGATCGGTAGAAGGAGTTGATGTGGTGGGGTATTAGAAAAAGATGCTTGGAACAAGCTGCCATGGTGAGTTTAGAGAAAAAAAATTATGGATTGCTAAGCTTATAAGAGATCTAATACTAGGAAAGAGTTTTTCAGCTCACTAAATATATACTTTACAGAGAGAAGTATAAAATAAACTACAAAAAATAAAGAATAACTACAAAAAGCATAATTCTAGTAAACCTTTACTAGTTACATACAACAATAGTTATCCTTATCAAATATCCGTTTTTTATATAATTATTGTAAAAATAAAAGTTGTGATGCATCCATCTCAAAAGTTGTTATACATCCATGTCGAGGGATTTATATGCATTTATGCATCTATAAGAAAAACAAGAAAAATAAATTAAGCTCAAATTAAAAAAGAAGATCTTGGACCTGCAATGTGTCATAGAGAAGAAGTAAAACTTGCAAACAATTTATTTATTTTTTTAAGAATTACCAACAGAAGCTGAAAGCGGGAGCTAGGCGGGAAAGCAAACCAACAAGGGGGCAAATGTTATCCTGTGTTAATAGATGCATTAATTCGTTTTCAGAGTTTCATAGGAATTCTCAGAACCATTACAACTCAACCATTAACCTTTATTATCGGTTGAAGGTTTAAAGTTTTTTGAAAAATAAGGCATGTACCATCGTAATGTAGAAGAAGTCAACAGAGAAGATAGCTAGCAGTCCTAAAAAATATTAACTATGGTAGATTATAGAATAGTTTTGGACCCATATGATCTACATATTATAATAGGCCAAAATAGATCAAAGATTCATTTCAACTTTTCGGCAGAAAATGGAGAGGGGCCAGTCAGATTCTATCAAGGCATTAATGTCCTTAAAATTAAATGTTGGCGTCCCAGAATAAAATAAATGAAAATGCAGATCATCAGAGGACACGATTTTCGAGAGAGTTGCGGGGATAGCTTAGCCTGTGAAAAGAGTATTCTAATAGGAGAGAGAGGGATGGGGTCACCAAGAAAAACCCTTGGGGAAAAGCTGGACCAAGTGTCGAGGGATGCTGCTCCCTCGAGAGTCAGAGAAAGTAGGGTATAGAATGACGTTCTTCCACACCTATATTACTTTTGCCCTTCAATGAATACAGAATTTCAAGGGACTGCCCTTTCACTTGGTGTCTTTTCCTGCGTGCTTCTCAGTCCTCGCATGGATTTCAAAGGAAGGAAAAAGCTTTCTATTCTCAGACAGTAGAAGCTGATTTCTAAATTATTCTTCATTTTCACATTTTTATTTCCAACTAAAACTGATTTTTTTTTCTATTTTGTTTTATTTGATTTTTGAAAATGAACTGTTATTTATTTTAGTTGAATTTTAGTGAAATTAAATATTTTCAGGATCTATTAACAATGACGTCCAAAAATTCAATTCCAGCCCATGGTGCAAATACTGAAACGGATAGCTGAAGCAGAAAAACTTGTGTTTTCTGGACATGCACGCTCCTGATCCAAACCCTAATTATTCTTCTCTGAATATAGCAGAAGGATTCATTGCCAATTAAATGCTACCACCAATGCCATGCATCATAGTCTTGCCCCTGTAAAAGAAAAGAGTAAAGTTGCAAGAAGATCACCAATGCCTTTCTAGATAAGGTTAGTGATGGTGACAGTAACAGTATCACAGTTAAAATAATACGTCACTATCCAGGCACACTGAAAAGCATTCAAGCACTTAAATTATACTTAGTTGTTGGAGACTAAAATAATGATCAATCTGTAATTATTCAAGCTCTGAGTGTAATGCAAGATGCCGGAATATCATTTTGCCGACTGTAATTTAGATTATTAAGTCATGATTCTCACTTTGACGAATACGGGTTTCCAAAAGTATCATACTCACTAGTGATGTTGGGATAGTGAGGGCAACTCATGGGACCTAGCCCCCACCCAATATTTAATTAATTAATGATCCGTTAAAAGAAAAAAAAAAAAAAAAGTTTACAAACATGGCACCCATATCGACCAGCAATGCTCTTTTTTTTTTTTTTTTTATTATCTTTACCAATGAAAACTTTGCGATTATTTTTTTAACTCCATGAATATTTTTAAATTCGTTTAAACAATAGTCAAATTTTTTTTTAAATGAGTTTATTTTTTAAATCTCTCATATAGTATTAGTTTATTGAAAAAAATTAAATAAATTTTACTATATACTTTACTTTGAAGTTATCGACCATAATATACATATATATATTATCTTAGGGTTTCATATAAAAACTTAAATTTTAAAATGAGATAATTTTTTGACATGATATCAAAATTTAATGAAATATATTAAAAAATAATATAAATTATATTATAAGGTTTCGAAAAGCTAGAGCCAATACAATCTTGTTTTTGGATTAACAGAGGCTTGTGCTTTAATTAAGCAGGTCAAAAAAAAAAAAAAAAGACAGACTGATTCTGAAAATCAATACAGTTTTTATTAGTTTAGTTAATTCCCGCTCTTCACTTCTATATCTACCTGAGTCATAAAACTGACGGATACGCAAAATATATACGAGCAATTATTCAAATACACATTAAAAATTATATTTCTTAACTAGTCGTGGTTCTACATTTGTATGGAAGATCAATTTATGTAGTTTTTGTTATGATTCTTATTTTTACGATATTTTTCAAATCGAAGCTAAATACTGGAATAGAATTGGATTATTTAATCTTATTTTTATATTGTTGTACTTTTTTGAAGAATTTTTTAGAATTTTAACAATGTCATCATTAGAGACTGCATCAAATTAATGAGTTCATAGTATTTGCAACCAAGGTCTCTAATTTGATATGCAAGTACCTTTTTAGAAAATTAGAAAAATAAAAAACTCGAAAAGAAAGAGAGAAACGACAAGAAGATTTTTTTAAAAATATCAATGAAGTTTTTGAGGATTTATATGCAGATTTTAATATTTGGAAAAAAATAGAAAAAGAATGAAATTTGAAGGAAAAGAGAGAAAGTTAATGAGATTTATGAAAAATTGTTATTTTTACTTAATTCAAAAATTTTACTCTCTTCATGGAAGGATTAATCACTTGTAAAAAGGATTTTTTTTTCTTTTTTTTTCCCTCGTTTATTTTCTACCAAATTTCATCTCAAGATAACAAATCTTCACAAATTTAATTTCTTGACTTTTTTTTTTTGCCTTTTCTGTTTCTCCAAGTTTCATAAAAAAAATTATAAATTTTTAAACATTATTAGTTATACAGAAATCTTTAATTTAGAAGTTGTCTAAGGTTTTTAATTAGCTCTCTTATTATTCAACACCAGCACAGAAAGAAAGATAAAAATACTCAACTTCATAGTTTATGTCCCGTGAAAGTTGATTAATATATTGACATGGTCATTATAAAAATATCTATCAAATTTTAAAAATTATATTCTAAAATAAAATAAACATTCTCAATGCATATTCAATTAAGTTTTAAATTTTTTGAAGCAATAATATAAATTGCATCACTTGATATAATCATAATTTAATCACGAAAGGTCTCGATTGAAAACTAATAAGAATATCAACAATATATAATTGAATTTACTCCGTCATCATAAACTAAACAACTTCAAGGACTTTGATATAAGTTGATATAGTGTTAGAGATAATTACTGGTTTTTTTTTATTTTTTTATTAGTCATCCGTCTTAGCATAATATACTCAATATGCATCATAAACATTAAAGTTTATGGCATGAGTTTTCAATCAATTTAATAAGAAAATAATTAACAATTAGCATAGCATAAGAAATTGTGATTCAGAGTTTTTAGTTTATAATTTTTTTTTATATTTTACTTTTCTTCAAATTGATACCTATTTTTTCTTTTAAAAAAAAAGAAGAAGAAAAATTACCTGCACCTGTGGCAAGAGAGATCCATTTATATTTAAATTTTTTTTTTTTAATGATATCCTGTATCTTGCATGCGTTTTACTATATAATAGATACATGACAATTGAATGTTGAAATTTGAGATTTCAAGGTTACAAATTTGAGAGTATTTATCTTCAGACGGGTGCACGTGGATTTGGACAGGGAAAAAAAAAAACATGGTTTGCAATCCCAAACTGAACGCTCATCTGAACTTTAAATAATAATAGAGAGATTATTTAATTAAATGTAAACTTGAAAATTGAAGAAAGAGCTAACTAGGAAATAAGATCAAGGTACAGATATATTTTCTTGATCAAATATTGAATCCTTCCTCGTCTTCACAAGATGAATAATTTGGTAAAATTCAAGATAAATTTTGGAAAGAAAAACTTTCATAAAACAAAATTAAATCGATCATGAGTTTTTTAACTCTGTGTATAAATGCTAAATCATGAATTGACAACTAAATTTTGATCATTTTTTAAAGTTTAATCCGATTGGTAAGTGAATATGTTCTTCATGTTATTATCCTCTACATATGTCTATATATATAGTAAAAAAAATTCTTACAATTGAATTAAACATATAAAATAAATATAATATAATTGTTCACACAGTACTTGACACCCACTATCATGGTTTTGATCAGAGTAAACAGCTGGTGGTCCAAACAATTCAATACCTCATTAATGCTAAAAATGATAACCATGGCCATGTTGTATCCGAAATGCTTGAAAGTAGTAACTAGCTAGCTTGGTTGTCAATGGCTAGCTAGCTAGTCCAATGGTCAAGATATGGTAGATTGCATATTAGACAATACTGAGGTTCCCTCCTTCTAACATTACTCGAAACAAAATTTGAAAGAATTCTCGGGCACCATCCGGCAAAGCTGCGAAAAAATAAAAAAATATTTTGAAATTAGAAATTCCTCGTCCATAGTCCACCGTATCCCAAGAGAGTAATTGAAAGAAAGACGTAGTCGGCAGAGGTATATATAGAGAAAGAAAAAATAACACATGGACTAACCCTCAATATAAAAACATAAGATTTTTTTTTTAATGAATAAAAATATAAGAAAATACTATATTAAAAAAATAAAAATAAAAAAGGAGAAAAAAACCGTCCCTCCACTTATATTATACTTGGTCTAATGCTTTTATTATTATTATTTTTTTTAATGAAGGAAAAAGTTCATAAATCAATTGGTGTAATGCTCTTTTCACGTCCCTCCCTTTATAAATAGACTCTTACCCTCCCTTCCATTTCCCACCATGTGAGTCCTAAGGATACATTCAAGAGCTTAATTAGCTATCAACTAGCTATGGCTCTTTGAAATATTCCTTGCTCCAGGCTTTTCTGATTGAAGCGTCAACTGATGCTATATACACAAGTATGGGAGAATCTGTAAAGCTCAGGAGGGATAGCGCCATGAGCAAGTATGATGACGATAAATTGAGGCTTGAGTTAGTCTCAACAAAATCAATCTAGTAATTAGTGGCGCTATCCATCCTGAGTTTTATGGGTTCTTCTTACTATTCAGGTGCAGTTTCAGCTTTAAAGATGGTTGTTGGCTTCTGGGTATTGTGTACTTTTCTTCTATAAATGCATTCTTAATTATGTTACTGCTTTCCTAGTCTTTCTTTTAAAGATAAAAATCCTGTATTCTTGATTATGTTTGGGGCTTTTCGATAAATATATCTTTGATCATGCCTTTTCTGTTCTTGGTTTGATTTTCAGCAGCAAATACCAAGATTAATGATGGGGCTTTTACTTTCGTTGTCTTTTAACTTAGATACGATAATTATGTACATAAATTAGTTCAATAGGTATTTTTCTTGTGTTACCTCTAGTTTCCTGAAATTAGCGTCATGGAAGCTCTACATCTTTTGCAAGGGCAAACCACGGGTTACTTTCTTCCCTGTTTTGGGTATTTTTTGTTTATATGCTTAATATTCGTTAGGTTTTGGTGATCTTTGGTCATGTTTTAACAATTCCTTTGTGTCATGGCCAAAATTTCTATGGGATGTTATCATAGCAAGAACAAATAATCTGTGCTCCTCCATGTTTATCAGGTAATTAGGTAAGTTACTTTATTTCTCGCTTTTAGTATAAAAGTTGATTGTCCCGCTTATACATGAACACATAAATATATATATTTTTTCCAACTTGGACTTGTTTTACGCTTGCAACTCAAATCTCTTTGGTTTTGGCCTTTGGGATATGAAGCACATACATACCATGTTAGTTCTCTTCAGCGGTTCTGATCTCTATGATTTTCCTAATTAGGTCATAACCCCTGGAATTTGTTACTCTAATTCGTCGTTTGGTTTGTTTGATGACGCCAAGATTAATTAACCAGGAAGGTTTTATACAGCTTAGTCATGTGATGAATTGGGTAGGTAATTAGGGTTTGCCTTTTGGGTATGCCAATCATCAACCCTATTACTCCACAGTTTAGAAATGTTCTTGGTTTTTTTTCTATCTTTTCACAAGAAAAATTCAGGGTTTTGACATTTTTTGCGATAGCCTTTTGAGAGAGATTACCCTGATTTGACGGTTTTGGTTTGTTTTTAGTTTTAATGGCAAGCTAGTCTGAAACTCTGAAACCCTAGAGTAGTCTCCAGAAGATTCTTGTTATAAATTTATGGTGTTAGGGTTTTCATGTATTGACTTGAATTTTTGCAGGCTTTTCAATAATGGGGTTAGTTACTGTGGATGTTGACGCTTGCCCAACCTTGTTCAGATCACGGTCTCGTCGCTTTGAATATCTATAATTTTTTCTTCCACCAGCACCACCTTCTCTATTAAAGGCAAACTTTGATGCTAATTGTATGCAGTAATTGTCGACATCTTTATTCTATCATGCAATAATATAAAAATTGCTAAACTTAGCCTTTCGTATAGATGATGATGGTGAAGTTTGACTTGTACATTCGAGTTCTTTTATATAATGTAGTTATCCATATTCTCTATTCAATTGCAATGTGGATCATTTGGTTGGCCATTATAGCCAAAATGTAAGGCTGGGATGTATATTTTTTAGTTTGATCGCATCTATTGAAAAGTTTGATCTAACTTTAGGGTACAAAGTGTCTCTTATGGTTTGGGGACAAACATCGTTCCTCCCAACAGATCTCCTACCTTGTGCTATTGTTGCATGTATGATATGATTTTCATCATCATAGGATAGTGGACAACGTGCTTGAACAGAACCCTCACCTTTCCACGGTATGGAGGGCTTCAAGGGTATGTATGCCGCCAGTGAGACCTCAAAATCGTATCTTAGCTGTCTTTGACCCAAAATAGGTACTGTTTATTATTATTATTATTTTATTCCATGAAAATAATAATCCTTTTATATTTTGTATGTAATTAACTCTAAATGGTTAATTTGGTGTCTATGGGGGTATACTTTCTCTTCCTTGATTTTATTGGTTCAGACAGAGACCCGTGTTTAAAATTTTTTATTAAAATTCTCTAAATGTAACAGGCTACGGATTGTTGTGCAATTTGATTCAAAAATATCTTACCCTCAAACCATATATATATTTTCTCTTCCTTGATTTTATTGGTTCAGACAGAGACCCGTGTTTAAAATTTTTTATTAAAATTCTCTAAATGTAACAGGCTACGGATTGTTGTGCAAGTTGATTCAAAAATATCTTACTCTCAAACCATATATATATATATATATAAAAGTGTAAAACGTATTTAAAAAGTGAAGTTTTAAGGATTTTTGTTTGGAGTTGAAAATTTATATTTACTGGTGGAATCCATAGTAAAATAAAGTTATAAATAATATTAATGGATCACATTTTTTAAATCGAATGATTATAATTTAAAATATAAAAAGCGATAAAAATTGGATTCGTATATAAATAAATGATAAAAAGAAAAAGAAAGTGGGACACCATGCCTCATTTTCTTTGATGGTAACGCTTAACCCCAACACTTTAACCTCATTTTTTGAGGATAAATGTTATCTTTTTTTTTACTTTTTTTTTTCGTTCTCAAAAATTAATGTTAATGTTCTGACATGTTCTTATATAATAATTTAATTTTTTAATTTTTTTATATATTAAAATAAGTCAATTATGTTTTCGTTATTTAATTAATTAAGTTTTTAATTTATTTTTTCGTTAATTTTTTTGGTCAAAGCACCTAATTTGCATGACATTTTTTATTAAAAAATACCATTCTCCGTTAAGTTTTTTAATATGATTTTGTATAATGGATTGATTTTTCTATACGTTTTCATATAATGATTTGATTTTCCAATGCATAATTCATGTTAAAAAATGCATTATATTATTATTATTAATTTTTCTAATAACGTATTGGGCTATTGTGGATATTTGTTGATTAAAAAAATATGAAAATAATTATTACATGTTAATATGTAAGTGTTTTAAAAATTATCGTTTAACATATTTTTAATGCTAAAGAATCATTTAGAATATTATCATTATAATAGTTTATTTTTTGTGTAATGCTGAATAAATTAATATAGTATTTACTATAATATATATATATATATATATTATATATATATATATATATATATATATATATATATATATATATATATATATGAAAGAAAGCATGTGAATCTTGTGAAAAAAATTATTAAATGACATAAATATCATTGATTGGATTAAAAAACTACATAATTATGATTTAAATAATTTTTAATTAATCTCTTAAGCATGTAATTAAAAACTACATAATTATAATTTAAATGATTGTTAATTAGTCTTTTAATCATGTAATTAAAAAACAGTTATGTAATTAAAAATTACATAATTATAATTTTAATGATTGTTAATTAGTCTTTTAAGCATATAATGAAAAATATAATTATATAATTAAAAAAACTACACAATTATAATTTAAATAAGGTTAAAAGAGTCTAACCGTTCTTGAACTATAAGTTATTTAATAATAAGTTCTTGAACTTTTTTATTGATTTTAGAGATTTCTAAACTTTTAATTTTTTTCAGATTTACTCTATATGCCTTTCCGTTTTGTCATTTATTTCAAAAAAATAACTTTTATATAAATAATTTCATGCTAGAAACCATTTAACAAAATTTACTCTATATATCTTTCCGTTTTATCATTAATTAGTCGAGGTTATTTTTTTTACTTTTTTATGTTTTTAATATTTAGAAAATAAATAAATAAAGTATTTAATTTTGAAAATTTTTGGAATTTGTTTACAAAAGGAATTGAATTTTTTTCAACATGTACGCAAAATTTCATCTTAAAATACTAACAATTAATTTTTTTAGAAGGAAAGATGATAACTGAAATTCATTTGATTGATTAAGTCTCAAAAAAATAATTGTTTTGGGATCTCTAAAATGTTCAAGAACTAAACCTCAAAATTGCTTTAAGTTCAGAGATGATTAGACCCTTTTAGCCTTTAAATAATTGGTAATTAGTCTCTTAAGGATGCAATAAGCATGTTTTCTTTAATTATAATAATTTAATTTACATAATTATTTGTTTTTTAATCAAATGCTTAAGATTCTAATTGACAATCATTTAAACTGTAATTATATTATTTTTTAATCCAATCAATAATATTTATATCATTTAGTTCTTTTTACACATGATTCATATGTTTTTTTTCTTATAGAGATGATTTAATACATTAGTAAACATTATATTAGTTTATTCAGTATTATGAATAAATGAATTATCATAATAACAATAATATAATGGATTCTTTAACATTAAAATATGTTAAATGTCAATCAAGTGAATACATATTTAGTTTACTAACATGTACTGATTATTTTTATTTATCAATCAATAGTGTAATATATTATTAGAAAAGTTATTAAAATAATATAATGGACTCTTTAATATTAAAGAAAGATTGAAAACTCAACCAATTATTTAAGAACATATTGAAAACTTAACATGTTAAACCTAAAAGGAGCATTTTTGTTTAATTAAAAAAAATCATGTGCAAATTATATGATATTTTCATGTTGTTTGACTAAAAAAATTGACTAGAAATGTATATTAGAAACTTGATTAAATAACATGAACATAATTAAATCATTTGAAGTTAAAAAAAAAAAACAGATTGAAAATTGAACTCATTATATAAAGACAAATCAGACTTGCTGTTAACCCAAGATTTAATTATTCAGTTTCTTTCGTGGATTAAACATTGTTTCACTGATTGAAGATTCAAAATTTAGATATTGGAATCTTGAGCATTTAATAGTTAGAATATTGGACTTAAATCTTAAATTTTGAGTGTATTTAAAGATTACAAAACATTAAGAATCATTTTAAGGTTTAGTTTGATTGATGGTTCTGTTTGTCTTTCGTATTATTATTGTCTAGAGGTTTAAATCCTAAAAAAAAAACTTGTTCAAGGTATTGAATTATGGATGATCTTAAATCTCACTGTCTTAAAATTCAGAGTAAATAAAAAAAAAACCCAATATTTAATCAGACGTACTCTCTTTGGAAAATTTCTATTTTCAACAGAAGAAAACATCTATCTTTTCTTTCATTCGCATTATTGTTGTTTTTTCATTGGATTGGTATCGAGTTTTGGACAACAAAAATGCTCTTTCCGATTTTTTAATTAACGACGTCTGTTTATTTTCACTCAACAGAATAACTTTTTGCTAGCCATGTGAACCATTTTCAGGACGATTCTGGTGAGACAAGGATCTTAAACCAATCTAATGTAGGCCAATCGTAATCACATAAGGGCATAAGAAGTTCGAAATCTCCGTTTTAATTAGCATATGCTTCCAATACATCCACCAACCTTCTTCTATTTACTGCTACAATAAAAATAGGCATTCTCCTTAATTGGTAATCAGGAACTAACTAAAGCAGTCATGCAGTTAAAAATTTTCCCACTGGAATTTACTAACAGAAAACGATCAATTGTCACTTTGGCCTTTGATTACAAAATCTCGAAAGTAGCAAGACTTTTGAATTTAGCATCCTCATTACCATTAATTAGTGACATCATTTAGTAACAACATTAATACTAAACCTCTGTGAATATATTATATGCATCAAGTATTAATGTTGGTTTGAATGAAAAGATCTCAAATCGTTTAAATAAGTGATTTCAATTTCGAGTTATTATGTACATGTAATTTTTTTTTTATAATTATTTTTATCGTTTGCATCCAATTGATTAACAACAAATTACTATTAATCTAGATATTTTGACTACGTTGAACATATATATATATATATATATATATATGTTCAATTTTGACAAATGAAATGTCCAATTAATTTAGTTAGGAGCCCATGAAAAGTGTATTAGACTTATGTAGAGGGCCATAAAAAGGGCTTATCCTTGACAGTTCAAACTCTCTACCATATCCATTCAAATAGTTAATTGTTTCATCTACCGGATCCATTCAAATCAAACCAACTGCATTTTAGGCCCACCATCATGGTAATAAATTGAAATTTTGATTTAATTATATGAATCAGATTAACCAAATAAATATCTTCTTTTCTTTATGTGATAAAATTGGCAACAAAGTGAGAAGTTTGAATTATTATTTTCAATTTTTTATACCCTTACAAGCGGTGTCTGTAAATTGTAATGCAGCTGAATAATATATTTGTAATCAAATCATCTTCACTATAAACGGCGGCCTACTAATTATACTTGAAATAAATCTTCTAGGTTGGCAGTTACTTGGGCTCTATTGACGTGAAAATTAATAACGGAGTTAAGGCAGGCCTTAGTCGTAGGCCCTATTGCCGCCATGACGAAAGGCCCTTCTCATCGGTTCTGTTATGATGATGCATTGCACATGAAATGAATGGCATAAATGCATGCTAAGTATACTAATTTTATTATTATTTTTTATTTAAGTAATTTTTTTTAAAGTTGTTAATCAAGTATTTTGTTAATCTTTTTGTTAATTGATTAGATGTTTGTTACTCTCACAATAACAAATTATAATTTTGTCCTATTTTTTTCGATCGAGCACATGAACATTTTTAATTCAAATACACTGATTTTTTTTTAAATTATCAATAAAATACTTTTATCAATTTTTCTGTTAACTGATGAAGTCTTCTTTATTTTTAGAATATCAAATTATAAATTTTTTATTTTTTTTGGTTGGAGGGAACTTTTTTCTCTAAATTATTCTATTATTTTAAATTTTAACAAAGAATTAAAAAATATTTTTTTTAGCTATAAACTCCAAACTAAATTGAGTTAAGGTTCAAATGTGAAAATTGAAAGAAAACAAAACATAAGATTTTTTTATTAAAAAGATTCAATATCTGTGGGCATTTGGGAGAAAATTAAAAGTTCTATATATATAAAGAGAACATAATTATAATTTAACATTCAAGGAGCAACAAACGCATTATTAAACAAAAGCATTATTAATCAATGAACAAATTTATACAAATTTTTGTTGATAATTTTAAAAAATTGATGTATTCGAATAAAAAAATAAAATTTATACATTCGATTGAAAAAATTTAAATAAAAAAATAAAATTTATTCACTCCGTTAAAAATAATTAAAAATTAATATATTTATAGGGTAATGATCTCTAAAATAAATATAGATCATTACACTATAAATATATTATGACAACCGATTAAAATTTCTTGGGTTTTTACGGGGAGGAGGGCCGAACAAACTGCACCGCACCAATTAAAATTTCTTGACAGGCGGAACGTTTTTTTTTTTTTTTTACCTCATTGAAATCCCCAACAAGATGTGGTTTACACAAAAGATAGATTTCCCCGTCATATTAGAATTTAGAAAATTCAAGTCATTCATCTACTTACTTTATCAAGGGACGCTGTTGGGTATTTAACCGTTAGGTCAAACAATTGTGCAGACTACTCTAATAAACTTTAATTCTCAACTCATTTGTTATTATTTTGAGAAATTTGAAAAAGGAGAGATTGATTGAAAAAAAAATCTGAAAAAAATCTTATTTATTAGAAGTATATTCATACCCATTTATAGTCCTTTTTCTGCGATTAATCTTTGAGTTCTTATTATTTATGATTTCGATAATAAGAACTAATGAACAAGAAAAAAGTGGTTAAAATACTGATAAATAAAAGTTTAGAGGTAGGGAAATCTAAGACGATTAAGAGAGCGTCAACCTCTCGACAAAAGAAAATGGTCGACCACCGCAAGAGTACTGTTAGCCACAGGCCTACAGCCCCATTTCACGCACGTCCACGTCCTCTTGAGAGCGCATTCTTTTGCTCTTTTTTGCCTCCATCTTTGGTTCTCTTCTTGTTTTGGATGACTAGGTTTTTTTCAGGTACTTTTCGGGACCTGGAATTTGTTCCCAGTCAATAATTCCCACGTGCAAATGTCGCATGGACATCATTCCAGTGATCTTCATTACCACCGAGAAAGTTGAGTCAAGTGATCAAGTCTATGTATGTCGCATAACTCTTTCTTCTAACTCCTTGGGCGTTTTATACGGAGAAGACCCTTTGAATATCAACTTTAACCTCGTCTTTCTTGATCTTGCTTTGATCATTTTAATAACTAAGATGATTCGCATTCTTCTCAAGCCTCTAAAACAGCCAAGAGTCGTCTCGGATGTCATTGTGTGTAATTTCTTCCTTCGTTTTATAGACATACATACACATTTATTGGCTTTTTCTAATATTTGAACCAGTATTCTTCGAATTTTTTTATTCAAACTTTTTAGTTTTTTGGTTCCATTAAAATTTTTATTTTTCAAGATTTCTTATTCAGACTCTTCTATGACGAGAAAGGATTACATTTTATCGTATAGTATAAAAATTCCGAAGGTTATATTTTATTATATAGTGTAAAAAATCCCATGGGCCTTCGGCGAATTAAAAAAAAAAAAAATCTTGGTTCTACAAGTTTTCTTTTCCAATAACATATTTTTAGTTACGATGAGCACACCCTTGAGAATAGTTTCCTTGACAGAGACCTCGTGGATACGGGATTTTTTTTTTTCGTTCGTTTTGCAATGTTTTATGAAGGTGACAATGGTTCTAAAAAATTCATTATAATATATGTTTGAGGAATTTTTCTTTTTTCTGGATAAAATTGTATAAAGATAAGAAGCCAAAAAGATAGAAACAAGAAGCATATGGAAAACGGGCCAAGGGTCCAAAGAGCCAAAACTCGTGCACAGCCACGGCCCCCTGCAAAAAATCACCACGTGGACGACGCGATGTCTGCCAGTGAATGCCAGGCCATCGTCTCCGCCATTCGTGGCAGCACCGCCGCCTAATCTTTCATTTTCGACCCCCAAACAGCCATTTGAACCCTCCAAATCGCCCTCTCAACATTCCATACACGTTTATAAATTTCAAATCAATCGTCAAATACCAGAATAGAATTTAAATTCAATCCAAATGTTAAATCTAAATTTTTAGATTTAATTCTCGATTTCATCCTGAAACAGTACATGCTGACCTAGGGTTCAAAAGCGGGAAATAAGAAAGAACAGTAGTAGCATGCTTTGATGTTAGCATTAAAAGTTGCCATGTATTTTTTAATGAATGGTTGAGATTGCATTGAGAAATGTAAAGGCAGTGTAGAATGTAGAGTGAGGTGAGAGAAGATTAACAAATGGTCAACCCGGACGCAGAGTGTAAGCTGAGCTACTGCCCCATTTCACGCACGTCCACATCCCTTAATAGGAGCTATTTCTTTCTCTCTTTCTTTCTTTCTGTTGTTCTCTCTCTGCTTCTCTTATTCCTAGCTAGCATTTGCATTTCTGGGACTATTTAGGATGGTAAGATATGTCCCAATGTATCGAAGAACACTGATCACACGAGATGGAAGACATGCAGGACAATACTCCAGCGATCTTCTTCATATCACAGACGAAGTTGATGAGTCCAGTATAACTCATAATCATGCCTTTATATGTCGAAGAACTCACCCAACTCACTGTTTGGGCATTTTCTACGGAGAAAACCCTTTGAACTGCTCCTTTAACATCATCTTATTTGATCTTGTTTTGATTATTTTGGTTACCAGCATGCTTCGTCTTCTTCTCAAGCCTCTGAAGCAGCCAAGGATTGTCTCCGAGATTATTGTGAGTGATTTCTGCATACTTAATTTGCTCTGAAATTTCCATGGTCATATTTATGTAGGCACTTCGTAGAAGTTGCATGTGCGCAGAAATTAGTTGGCCCAAATTCGATATAGAAGGAATTAGCCCTCCCCTCAAGCATTTTAAGTGGAGCTACCTCTCATTTTCTGTTTTACATTTTGATTTATACATACGTACATACATGCATACATATTGTGGGTTGAGGGGTGCTGGTTTTGTGAGCGTTTTACTTTGTTTCCCTACTGAATTTGTGAAATGGAATGATGATTTTCAAGGGTGGCATATTCATTGGACCCTCTGTTCTCGGCCAGAGCAAGAAGTTAACACAGCAGGTGTTACCAGATAATGCCCGATTTGTGGTGGCGAATCTTGGAGCCATTGGTTTTGAATATTTCCTTTTTGTGACTTCAGTGGAAACGGATTTCAGTGTACTTCGAAAAGTAGGGAGGAAACATGTCTACACTGCTGTGATAGGAGTATTTTTCCCCATTGCAACAATGTGTATAGTTGCACACTGTTTTAAATCATCAATTCATGGGAATCTTGCAAAACCTGCTGTCATTGGAGGCTTCGCTTCATCTGTGTCGGTAACTGTATTTCCTGTGATTTATCTTGTCCTTAAAGAGTTACAACTATTAAGTTCCGAGGTTGGACGGATGGCAATGGCCACAGCATTGGTAAGCGATGTGATGGGGATTATTTTAATTATTGCATTTGAAGCAGTAAAGCAAGGTCAACATAGCGGTACCGATGCTTTGTTGTTTATGATTTCTGTGATAGTTCTACTGGCCTTCGGGATTATTGTGATTCGGAGAGTACTGCTTTGGGTTGTTGAAAAAACCCCTGAAACGAAACCCGTAAATCAGTCATATGTGGTTCCCATTTTGTTGGGGGTATTGGTGATGGCATGCTTGAGTGACATGCTTGGTCTAGCCTTTCTTAATGCAGCATTGTTGCTGGGGATAGTGATGCCGGATGGTCCTCCACTAGGGGCCACCATGGTGCAAAGGAGCCAGACAATAGTAATGGAGCTTCTTCTGCCGTTTACATTTGCCCTCGTGGGATTGAATGCGGATGTCTTTGCCATGGCCAATTATGGCTGGTCGAATTTGGAACCACTATTTGCCATGGTTATTGCAGGGTATCTCTCCAAATTGGTTGCAACTCTTTTGGTTGCTCTCTTTTTGGAGTTCCATTCAAAGAGAGTCTCACTCTCGGTCTCATGATGAACTTGAGAGGTTTAGTTGAGGTGATGATATTTTTGCGATTTTTGGACTCAAGGGTAAGTTCTCTAAGCTCAAATATTCTCTTGAAAATGTGCCTAATTTTTGAAAATTGTGAAGGGAAAGAAAAAAAGGTTTAAAATTAATTTGTTATAAAATGAATAATAAAAGAAACTAGCTTGTTTAACCAAGTTCCTATTCGAACCATTGGACCTTGTAGTGTAATGTACTTTTCCTTTTTAGCTCCTCCTATTTGATGGATAGATCTGCTTTGATTCTGAGGATGGCATGCAGGTATAATAGCAGTTATAGGGCCATGTTTTTAACCATACCCTCGTTGGCTCTACCATCCACGACTTGTAATTTCCTTTTTGTAAACTATTCTCATCTAATAAAATTATGATGTCGTTCATCAAGAAAAAAGGATGCCATGAGTAATTTGGGTAGAGGAAGTAAAACTAATGAAATTTTATTCTAAGATGAAATATGATGGAAACTTAGTATAGCTTGGCTAGACTAAATAGGCCTTCCCTGTACGTAGAAAAAGCACTTCACTTTTTTTTTTTTTCTCACAAGTACACTGTAAGAGACAATTAGCAAACAGGCATATAATGACATTCCAAATATTTCACATCTTGGTTTGTTAGGTTCTTACAGTTTTTGGTTTGCTCACAGATTTTGGAGATCCCGACCTACACATTGATTCTGCTATTAACAACATTGATGACTGGCACATGTTCAGCTTTGATCTGCTTCATCTACGATCCAACAAAGCAATACATGACAAACAAAAGAAGAACCATCCAACACACCCCTCCAGGCACAGAGCTCAGCATAGTAGTTGGCATCGACGATGAAGAATGTGTAGCTGGACTCATCAACCTTCTCGAGATCTCCCATCCAACTATAACCAGCCCCTTCGCAGTCTATGCCATCCATCTGTTTGAGCTAGTAGGTCGTGCGTTTCCGGTGTTCATTGACCATGATAAACCAGAACGACCACCCAAGTATATAGACTACAAAAACATTCACAATGCCCTAAAGCTCTACCAAAAAACTAGATGTGATTTTGTCAAACTACGTTCGTTCACTGTTGCGACTGTGAAGCGAACCATGCACCAAGACATTTGTGATCTGGCTTTGACATATAAAGCAACTCTAATCCTTTTACCTTTCCACAATAAAAGGCTTGATAACCTTGCAGGAAGTGAAATTGTCCGGCATGCTTATGGAATGCAATCCATAAACTCTCGAGTCTTAGCCAATTCACCTTGCTCAGTTGGAATTCTCGTCGACAAGGATCACAGTAATAACCCTGTTGCCATGCAATATTACCATCAGCACTTCGTTCACAGATATGTTGTTCTATTTTTGGGAGGAGCAGATTCTCGAGAGGCACTTGCCTACGCAGACAGGATGGCCACTAATCCTGAAGTTTCTCTTACAGTGATAAGGTTCCTCTCATATAATAACATCGGAGATGATGAAATGGAGAAGAAGCTTGATGATGGGCTGGTGACATGGTTTTGGGTGAAGAATGAAGGGAATGACAGAGTGGTTTATAGAGAGGTGGTGGTGAGTAACGGGGAAGAAACACTAGCAGCAATCCAAGCATTGAACAACGATAATAATGAACTTTGGATTGTGGGAAGGAAACAAGGGATAAACCAGGTGCTCCTTGAGGGATTGTCAAAGTGGAGTGAAAATCCTGAATTGGGAGTGATTGGAGATTATGTTGCATCCAATGATTTTAGTAGCACAGCCTCTGTGTTAGTAGTACATCAGCAAATTATGAGAGGATAAGGGCCGCTACTGGTGACATTTATCAGAGATAGGTTTGGGGGTAGGTTTGGTGAACATCTCTGTACATAGAGTACCTTCATTGTTTTATTTTTTTAATTTATTTTTCAAATATTGGGATTTATATTATCTAATAAAGAAGGGCTTCCCCTCTTCCAGCGATTTCAATTTGAGTTCACCGTAAGAACTAAACATAGTTAGGGCATATTTTCCCATCCATTAAGAAGCCAGAAGAATCATTTGAAATCCCATTTTCACCCAGGACTTTCTTTCCCCACCCCTGCCCCTTAAGAAAGTTATTCCGTTTCGATCCCACTTGTTGCTTAAGTAAATAATAAATGCGAGTCATCTCGAATATCATTCGTGTACTGTCTTGTTCATTTTTTCCATTAGGTGTTTGTCATTTGTAACCTTTACTAATCTGTAGGTTCTTTTCAGCAACGAAGAACTTGAAATCAAATGAGAAATGTCCGGGAATGGAAGGACTAGTCACATGTATCCATGTCATATAAATTAGTCTTTAAATATGCGAAGAAAAAATTTTTTACACGATGGCACTATGCAATAATGTAAGGAGTCATTGTCTTTGTTAAGGGATACTAAGTTGAACAGTATGCGATAAGAGAGCTAATGGTTAGAACTTGGAAATTTTCAATCTAAAAGTTTTAAATCCTGATGGATGGTGGGCTAGTTTATTCGATAGACGATGTTTGGTGGAGCTCCTAATCCAGAAATGGTAAACTAATATCATATAACAAGTTTATATACTTGATCTAATAAAACTATTTACCATACAAAAAATATTTTTAGTTCTCTGATGAGGAGAAAACTGCGTCCTTGATACAGCGATATAACCGGGGAAAAAGAATAGCCAGATTGAAATCAAGGCGCATTTTTTTCTTCTTAAGCAAACTGCATAGTTGTTAAAATGATAGTATTGTAGATTTTTCTACATGCCAAAAATATTTTGATATATGTGCATGAGGCATTAGAGCACAATTAATAAACTCCACCCAATTTTTTCTGAAGAAAAGAGAAAACAAGGGGAAAAAAATCTAGAGGAGGGCCAGGGGCCTCGATACCAGTACAAGAGAATGGTCAAAGAAAAGCTAAAGTCGAGCCAAAATCCACTCTTTTTTCTTTTCTTTTTTTTGAAATTAAAGTAGCGTCCTCCGCAGTTAACGCCTACCTACCATCCTTACAACACTCTCTTTCTCTCACTTTCTTCAATGTCGGCAGCGTATGGTTAGAGTATTTTCAGGTAGTGTTCAAAAGAAAAATGTTTAGGCTAGCTAGAGTCCAGGTCATTGACAACATTTTTTCGACAGAATCAAACCATTCTAATGATTCATTTATATGTCAGGTAATTCGGCCGGAGAACTTATCTTCTTTTTACTCGAACAAGGTGTTAAATTTCCACTTCGGCATAATATTTCTTGATGCAGTTTTAGTCATTTTGATTACTGAATCCTCGGATTTCTTCTCAAGCCTTTCAAGCAGCCCTAGTTTGTCTCCGAGTCATTGTGAGTTTTTTCCTTCATTTTTTGCGTATATTTATGTTCATGTTTCCCTATTTATTGCATGCATATTTCAACTGACATTTTTAATTGAAATAATGTGGAATTTTCTGCCACTAACTTATGTTGCGCGCTTTGATGGTTTTGATCATTTCAAGGGTGGTATAATCGTTGGTCCATCCTTCCTAAGCAGCAACGTGAAGTTTAACGGTATTTTTTTCTAAGAAAATGCAAAGTTTGTCATCAGAAATGTTGAACTTGTGGGCTTTATGTGCTTCCTTTTCATAATCGGTGTTAAGATAGATCTTTCTGTGGTCAAGATTCTGAGAAGGAAAGATAAAATGATGACATTGGCTGAGTGATCATTACCCCTGTAACAGCTTCAATAGTTGGAAACACCGTCAATGGATAAAGAACTTGCCAAACCTTCTTCAATTGGACGAGTTGTTTCAACAATGACTCTAATAGGATTTGTTGTGTTCTGTAGTTCATATTTTTTCAGAATAACAACCAAATAAATAGAGTACTGAAGTAAGCTCCAAGAAAGACTGAAGTAGTTTCTAAGTTTTGTAACTTGATAATCAAGTTTGTTCCTTTCTTATCCACCATGTATTTAACCATCATAATAGAAGATAACACAGGTGGTTTTAGTGTGTGAAAATCACAAGGATTTCGAGGTTTCCTTTTGAGTATAAGAATGAGTGTACAAGAGACTTTAATTTGGAATTGGGTTGAGGTATAAAAAATCACAATCATATTCTTGTAATAATTTTCTATAATAGTAAAGAATTACTACTATCGAATCTACAGAGTGGTTAGAATTTTATCGAACCATGTTAAATCTTATATATCCACTCTTTATTTATTTTTGTTATTTTTTTTCCATTAAATCAAATTGTTCGTTGTGATGTGAGGAATCTCGGGTCCTTAATTTCATAATGAACTAGTATCGAGCTTTGGTTTGGGATGATTTGGTTTTTGATTGCAAGCAATGTCTACAAATGACAAGCTTTAATTTACTGTAGAACAATTCAATGAGACTAGAAGTTTTACTTTTTGACAAAGAAGAGTGAAAGATATATTTCTTCAATAGGGCTCGGCCAAAGCATTGACATAAAAGAATGGGAAGTCAGAAGAGTTGGAGGATCACGAGGTGAGAGGAGTTGAAATCATGGTGTGTGAGCATAATTCGATTATATATTACGATAACATTGTCAATAATGTTATGAATGAAAATTTGGTATCTACAATACGGAAAAAGTTGAAAAATCTTTATCCGGCAAAGATTTTAACCAACAAATTACATCTATGCAACAATTTTACGAACTAAAGATGGAAGAAGGTAGAAATATCATTGAGTTCATTGTTATATTAGATCGACTCGAGAAATTATGTTGATGCCAAGATTGAAGGAAAAACCAAAGCCTTTTTACTTCTTACCTCTCTTCCTTATTTCATTTGAAAATTTGGTGATGACGCTGTTGTATGGTAAAGAGACAATGAATTTAGATAAAGTATAAGTTGCACTTTTATTTTTTGAGACTTAGAGAAAATCAAATCAAGAAAAAAATATAGTTCTTTACTGGTGACCAAAGGGAGTATTAGAAAAGAGGATCGACCAAAAAAATTTCGAGTGATATGTCTAAGTCCAAGTACAACAAATAAAAACATTCAATGTTACATGTGCTAAAAATTTAGTCATGTACTATCCTCGAAAAAAGAGGGTGGATAAATACGATGATGGTAGAAATTATTTGATGGTGCTTATAAGACTCGTGGAAAAGTCCTCGTAGTCTCTGGATGTATCAATACTTTTTGTTCTTGATAGTTGGATATTAGATTCTATATTTGTATTACATGTGTGTTTCAAGAAGGAATATTTTAATAAACTCCAAATAGAAAAGATTGACACTATGTCTTTGGATGGTGCGTCGTCTTATAACGTTTGGCTTTTGGAACGGTAAAAATCAAAATACTTGGTAAAGTGTCTATATTTTGAATTGTGTGGCTTATGTCCAAAATATGCATAGGAATCTAATATCGTGGAGCTAGTTAGACTCCAAGAATACAATTATTTTGTTGCATGAGGAGTCTTGAAAGTCACAAATAGAGGCACAATCCTCATAAAAGGAGAAAAATAAGATGGTTTAAATCATTTGATTGGAAAAACAAGAACATCAAAGAGTGAAGTGAGAATGGATTGCACAAGATGGTAGCTACCTAAAAAGAGTTTCTTCATAAATGAATTATACTTTCTCGGGTTTCAAACTAATGAGAGGGAAAAGATCATGTCAAGAGAGAGAATGGATCAAGGACTCTTTCTAAAATTAACAAGTAAAGTTGACTTAGGTTAGTTGCACATAAGCATTGGTTGTGTTTTTTTTTTTAAACCATGTGGAGTTTAGGATTATTAGTTGATTCACATCATATGTAGCTAGTAAAGTTTAAAGGCAATATTTATTTATTTATTTATTTTGTTTGTCATATTTACAAACAAGTGGAGACAAAAACTTCAAGGTAATAAGAATATTTATCAAGGTGGAGATTATTGAGTTTATGACTCATATATTTTATAGTAATGGCAAGTAAATAGAGTGGAGTAGCTTTCAAGAAAGAGTTTAGTAGCCTCCAAATTTTGTAAACTTGGTAACCGAGTTTGTTCTTTCTTTCTTCACAAAGTATTTTAGCCATTATAAATAGAAGAAAACATGGATTGTTTTAGTGTGTGGAAAAATACAAGAATTGAAAGGTTTTATTTGAGTGTGAGAGTGGTTATACGGGGGTTTTGAAATTGGATTTTAGATATAAAAACCATAATCATATTCTTGAACTAATTTTTTCTCATTGTAAATAATTACTTTAGGATTTGTGGAGTAGGCGAGATTTTACATAATAACGTTAAATCTTATGTGTTCACTTTTCAACACTTTTCATTCATCTTTGTTATTTTTTTTTCCTTTGAATCCGTGATTCTTGATTTCCCGATGAACAATAATTTATCCTAATGAGCTTTTAGATTCCAATACATCAACTTTCATATACACCACTCTCCATATAGATAGGATTAGTCGGTTGCTCACACTACACTCGTGAGTCCGATATAACAAAATCATTTTATAATTTTATAATTTTTTAGTTATAATTTTTTTCTAATATTTTTCATAATTTTTTTTAAACAAAACATAAATCATTCTTTTTTATCAATTGATTTTAAAATAAAAAATTATAATAATCTTAACTACAATATTAATTGAGAATTAAAAAAAAAATTAAAATATATATTTTTTATAATATTGTGTTCTAAAAAATAAATTTATAATTAATAGATAGATTTTTATAGAAATTAAAAAATGAAAAAAAAATTATTTAATTCTGATGAGAAGATTAATTTTTAAGATTATTCGTGCCAACATTGCGGGTAAATAGAACAAAATCATTTCAAAATTTTATAATTTTTTCATTAATTTTTTATTTCATTATTACTATTTTGTGTGTGTTTTTATAAAATTTTTTCTTAAAAAAACATGATTTATTAATCAAGAATTCAAAAAAAAAATTAAAAAAAATTATATATATATCCAAAAAAATAAAGTTGCAATTAATGTATAGACTTGCATAAAAATTAACTAATGAAAAAAATAAAATTTTATTCTTATTTAATGTTGGTGAGAAGATTATTTTTTTTAAAGTATATGCATTTGATCTATACATATTTATTTACAAAATAATCAATAAAATTAGTATAAAAAATGTATTTGAATAATTGGTTGGTTCCTTTAAAAAATTATTTTATTTCAAATAAATTGATTTTATAATGTTAAAATAATATTCATAGTAAATAATTTGTATTACGTTAGAAGTTATAAAGTTAATTTTTAATAAAAAAAATGATTCAATAATTTTTTTATACGTCTTGATTATACCTATTGAACTGAGATAAATGTTTTGAAATATAATTTTAACCTTTTAGAATAAAATAATTATATATTTATATATATGCAACTATCATTTAATAATTCTAAGAATTCATGATATATATTATACCAATTTATTTTTTAAAAAAGAAAAAAATCATGTTTTAAAATTTTATTCTAAAATTCAAACATGGAGAAAAATAAATTATATTTATTAGTAAATAAAATTTTATATAAAAAATATTCATTGGATGAGAACTTTCATAAAAAGTGATAAATTCAAAGAATAAAATTTAAATAATAAGAGTAATATAAGCTAAAGTATATGTTAATTTTAAAATATAAAAAGATAGTGTATACATATACACACTACTTGAAAATGAAAGAAAAATAAAAGCTAAGGATATAAAAATAATATTACAACATGAGGGACGAAAATAGAAAAAAGTGTTAAATTTGCATATTAATGCCCAAAAACATTTTAAAAAAAACCATACAAAAAAAATATTGAAATTGCCATCAAGTGAATAGTAAGTTTATGCATATGAACAGTAAGTGAATAGGAATTTTAGGCATATGAACGAGTTTGGATTCTCGTGCTATGTTGTGGATCGAATTAAATATATTTATTTCAGTTTAATAACATATACTATATCGTCAATAAATTAAAATATATTAAATTAAATACAAATGATAAAATTTCATCTGATTTTATAAATTTCAAACAAAATTTTGTATCTATATATATTTTTTATGTTTTGAATAAATTTTCAAGTCAAAAAATATGATTTGTTATTTCTTATGCATTTATTCTTAAATAAAAACCCATAATAAACAAATTTCAATATAAAATTTTAAAAAAAGCGTCTTAATATTTTTTTTCATAACATTACATTGAAAAAATAAAGTAACAATTAATATCAAAATTTGTATGAAAATTAACAAATGAAGCTTTTTATCGATGAGAAGATTATTTTTTTAAAAAAAATAGACATTTGATTTATATATATTTATTTAAAAAATAATGAATAAAATTAGTATACAAAATTATACTTGAATTATTAGGGGGTTATTCTAAAATGTTATTTCAATTATTTTATTTGAAAAAAATTAATTTAAAAATATTAAAAAAATAATAGCAAATAGTTCGCATTGTGTGTGTAGATGCATAGTTGATTTCTAGTAAGATCAATGGCTCTATTATTATTATTATTTATACATCATAACCATATTTAATGGGTGAGAATGTATAGCATAAGTTGAAAAATATTTTTTAAAAAAAATAAATTATAAAATATATGTTAAAATTAATATTAAGTGCAATAAAAACTATAAAATTGATTTCGATAAAATTTGATTATATAAAGAGTAAGAAAATAAAATACATATATTCTATGTTTAAAATTTGATTATATAAGAATCAAGCAAATAAAAACAGGTATCAAAAAACTTATTTGAATCCATATATAGAGAAAATAAATCATGTTTATTAATAAATAAAATTATATAAAAAATAAGAATAAAATTTAATTTGATGAGAATTTTTATAATAAATCAAAAAGATCAAATTTAAACAATAAGAGTAGTATATATTTATTCTAAAATCTAAAAATATATCATGTATCTTATATAATCATAAGTTTGTATGGAAAAAAGTGACGATTGATTTTTTAAAATTTTAGCACCCAATTAAATAAAAAATGAAGATAAATTGATGGGAAAAAACAAAGGAAAAAAAACCTAAGAGAAAAAAAGGAAAAAGCATGTGTAGTACATTAGCTTGAGGATTAAAATTTTTATTTTAAAATTTTAGGAATCAAAATGAAACAACTTGAAAAAAAAAAAAACCTAAGCTATAGTAAGTAAACAAGTGAATTATGAGAGAATGAATAGTAATTTTCACGGTTCAAAACCCCCATCCGTTTTAGTTCCTTTTAATGCCTACATGAATTTGTTGGAATAGATTTGACGTCGAGTGTACCACAAGGTACATCTCTCAACACGTCCCTTTTAGGGATGGCAATAGGACGGGGCGGGGCGGGGCGGGGCGGGGATCGTCATCCCCGCCTCGTGTCTCGTTCGGGGTGAAATTTTGCTCTTCATCCTCATCCCAAACGAGGTGAGGTGAGGTGGGGTGGGGATGATCGTGCCCTGTTTAGGGTAAAATTTCGCGCCCCATACCCGTCTCAAATGAGGCGGGGGTGGGCCGAGGCGACATCGGGGTGGGTTGGATTGCCATCTCTCCCTCTCGGTCATCTCAAAACATATGTGCTCCTATCAAAGCATCATGATCTTTATGAATTCCTACAAAAACCCCTTTCGATCATTCAAAGTGATGATCAAGTTTTCGCTCTTGATGTCTCGATGTCGTCTTCAAGACTTGCACAACGACCTAGATGGTCTGCACTTCTCGATCCATTTCACTGGAGTGGTTGCTATCTACTTCATCCATTAGTCCAATCGACTTATGAGATAATGAGGTTTATTAATTTTCAAAAACCCTCAAAACAAAAGACACGACCATAGTTGTAGAGAAACATTTAAAGTACTTGAAATATATGGTTTCAATGTGCCATAAATCTAGTACTACTTTTTTTTTAAATAATTTTTTTAAAAAAAACCCTAATAATTCTTAGTAGGAAAAATAAAATAAAAATAGAATCCTCAAGTTAATATCAATTTCTAATAAAATTACTTGTCTAATTAAAATGAAAGGTATTTTATGTAAATATTACAAAGAAAATAATTGAATCAGAAATAATAGAATTTGTCCCATGTCAATATTAATTAATAATTATTCTTAGGTGTCATTTGGTTACTAGAAATGGAAAGTTCGGAATGAGAATACAAGAATCGAAATAGCATTTATATTTTTATACTGTGATTATAATACTAATGAAAAATCGAAATATAATTTAAATTTTTTAATATCTGATTTTTTATACAAATAAAAATAATAATTAAAAAATAATTTTATCAAGCTATAATGGTTGTAAAAATAATAAAGGTGGTGGTGGCGGTAGTTATCATGGTGATGGTGGTCATGATCGTGGTGATCTGTGATAGTGATAAAAATAATTAATAGACAATAAATAAAAAATATATATTATGATTTTGAAAAAAAAATCATTCTTATTTTTTGTTTTTATTCTCACATTTTAAACGAGAATAAAGTTGTTTGTAATTTTTATTCTTATTTTCACTCTTCATTCTCATTTTCATTTTATTTTTTTCAATCAAACAATTACTGAGTATAAAACTTTTATTCTTATTTCTACCCTTCTACTCCACTCTGTTAACAAACATCACCTAAAAAGCTAAATTTGACAAACCTTTGGAAGAGATAAGAGTAATTAAGATCTCGTCTTCCACGTTTAACGCACAGCCGCGATCCTTGACAGCACTCTCTCTCTCTCTCTCTGTTCATTGTTCCTACTTCCTAGTGCATGTTAGAGTATTTTCTGGTGGTGTTCTTCAGAAAACTGGTTTGGCTAATTCACCCATGCGTTCAATAATTCCTTTACACAGAAGGATTGACCGCTCATAATTCTGAAAGATTTCAGGTCATTAACAGCTTAGTTTCCATTGAACTAAACCAATCTGAAGATCGATCAACATGTCATGCAACTCGGCCGATAAATCATCAGGTGTTTTTTACTCTGATGAGGTGTTAAATTTCAACTCCGGTGTAATATTGATCGATGCAGTTTTAGTCACTTTGATGTCTCGTATCATTCGCTTTCTTCTCAGGCCTTTCAAACAGCCCAAAGTTGTCTCAGAGATTATTGTGAGTTTCTTTCTTTCTTTCTTTGATGAATATTTATGTTCATGCTTCTCTGTATATTGAATATTTCAACAACCATGTTCTTAAAAATAGTTTGAATTTTTCTGCTATTTTGATGATTGTGATCATTTGAAGGGTGGCATAATCATCGGTCCATCCGTCCTAAGCATCAACAAGAAGTTTAGTGGGACTTTCTTTCCAGAAAATGCCAAGTATGTGATTAAGAATATCGGACTTCTGGGCTTTATGTACTTCCTTTTCGTTGTTGGTGTTAAGATGGACCTCTCTATGGTCAGAATTTCGAGAAGGAAACATAGAATCGTAACTGTGGTTGGAATGATCGTTCCCCTTATTTTAGCCACTATCGTTGGAAACATCATTAGACCGTCGATGGATCAAGAACTTGCCAAATCTTCTTCAATTGGAGGAGTTGTTTCAGCAATGAGTGTAACAGGTTTTGTTGTGATTTATCCTATTCTTCAGGAATTAAACCTGCTGAGCTCTGAGGTTGGACAGATAGCCCTGTCTGTCTCAATAATAACGGATGCAGTTGCGACTATCTTGCTGATCATAGTTGAGACCATGAGACAAGCAGATCTTAGTGTCAGGTCTGCTGCGTGGTATATAATTTCCGTGGCAATTTTCATGTTTTTCAGTATTACCGGCATTGGGCGAGTAACAATATGGATTGTAGAAAAAACCCCTGAAGGGCAGCCTGTTGAGCAAGCCTATGTGGTTCTCTTTTTGTTAGGGGCTCTGGTGATGGGTTTTCTTTCAGATATGTTGGGATTGGGCATTGCTGCTGGTTCCCTGTGGCTGGGGCTAATGATACCAGATGGTCCCCCACTCGGATCAGCCATTGTGGACAAGTGCGAGACATTTATAATGGACTTCTTCATGCCTCTTTCATACGTTTACATCGGAATGTTCGTGGATGTGTTTGAAATGGCAAGTGTTCCCCGGTCTAGTTTGATGCCACTTTTCACCTTGGCTGTGTCAGGAATTGTGTTTAAACTTCTCGCAACTCTATTGACTTCTCTCCTAGTTAAAATTCCATCTAGAGACGCTCTCACTCTCGCCCTCATTCTGAATTTGAGAGGTCAGCAGGAGTTCATGTTAATCATGCATTGGATGGACAAAATGGTATGCCTTCTTTACTCCCTCACACATCCGCACATAATATATGTAGAACTAGACACTCCCCTTATCAATTTAAACGATAAATAACGTAGAAATTAGAGCTATGTATTCGCTGATTAAGTACTGTTATTTTGTGATTAATAGGTTATCAAGACCCCTTCTTTCACAATGATGGTGCTATTGACAACAGCAGTGACAGCAATGTCCACTCCTCTCATCAGTTTTCTCTACGATCCAACTAAGCCATTTATGGTGAACGCGAGGAGAACCATCCAACACACCCCTCCGCGTGAAAAACTTAAAATAGTAGCTTGTTTCAACAACCAAGATAGTTTGCCCAGCCTCATCGATCTTTTCGAATTCTCTTGTCCATCTCAAATGAACCCATTGTCAATCTATGCTCTCCACCTCATTGAGCTCAATGGCCGAGCGGCCCCTGTGTTTATAGACCACCAGAAACAGAAAATGCCTTCCAAGTATGGAGGCTATAATTCCACATATAATGCCATAAAACTCTATAAAGAAACCAGAAGTGACGTCATAGACTTCCATTCCTTCGCGGCAGTGGTTCCAAAGCAAACGATGTATCAAGACATCTGCAAATTGGCAACAAATAAAGAAGTTGGTCTCATCATTTTACCTTTCCACAAGGAATTGATGGATACTGTAACAGTCACTGAACTCAACAATCAACGAACGCCATCTGTAATATCAAATGTGTTGGACCATGCTCCATGCTCCGTCGGAATTCTTGTTCACAGGGGTCACTTCTTGAACCCCATTTTTGATCAATCCTACAGCTCCCCCCGCCATTTTCTTGTGCTATTTTTAGGAGGTGCAGATGCTCGAGAGGCACTTTGTTTTGCCGATAGAATGGTAAAGAGTCCGAATGTGTCCCTTACGGTGATTAGGTTCCTTTCTTATGTTTGCGGTGAAGAATATGAGCAAGAGAAGAAGCTCGACGATGGGCTTATCACATTGTTTTGGGCACGACATCAAAGAGATACATTAGTGACTTATAGAGAGGTGGTAGTGAAGAATGGAGAAGAAACGTTGGCTACAGTTCAGGCATTTGGTAATAATGCGCATTTTGACCTACGGATTTTAGGAAGGAATAAAGGGATTAATCCAGTTCTCCTTGAAGGATTATCAAATTGGAGTGAACATCATGAATTGGGAGTGATAGGTGATTATATCTCTTCCATGGATTTTGATGGTACAACCTCTGTGTTAGTGGTGCAACAACAAATTTTGAGGGGGTAAAGGTTTCTGTTATATTGATAAACAGGTATGCTAGAAAGTTGAAACTGATCAGTGCTAAGTTTCACCATAGGCATGATGCCGGAAAGAATCCTTCGATAGGAATTGATAGATTTGAGGCCGTTGACCTCGTATTTTTGCAGATGCACTTCACTAGCTAAAATAAATTCAATGAAAAAAAAAGAAAGAAAGAATTCAGTTATTTTTCTTGTTTCTGAATATAAACGTGCTCCGTATTTGTGCTTATACAACTCCTCTGTTGATTGGAAATTGGAATTCTACCAGAGAGCAGAGGGAGATGAATCTGGCTGTCAGATATTGACCTTACATAGAATGGGAAAAGAACAAAATCATCATGCATATTTCAATGGGTCTTCTTTTTTGTTGTTATTATACCACTATTTAATTTGGAATTTGGCATAAGAAATTAGAGAAATTGAGCCCAACAAGTTATTCAATGGATTTTTCTCATTTATCTCCTTCTTGTTGGATTTCACTTAAGCCCATTGGTTGTTTACTATAAGAAGCCATTTCCAACCTGTATGGTCCAGTATTCACACATGGCTCAGTAAATCCAATCCAAATGAAACAACTAAAGGACTAGCAACAGCACGTTAGTGAGAGACATACGATAATGGACTCTTCACGAGACTAGATCATAGGAAGAAACGTGGAAAAATAGTCATGTCTAGCAGCAACATTAATCAGCGAGTAGTTAGTAGAAGAACAATAGAATTCTAGTATCAATAAAGACATGATTTAGAGAGTTAGAAAGTGGGAGATCGTAATACAAGAATAACAAAACAGAATAAATAACATAAATCATTGCAATGCAAGAATAGCATAACAAAACAAATAACATAAAAAGTTGTAATGCAAAAAAAGAGAACGAAAGAAGGATATGGAGCAACACAAACTATGTGATTAAGTGCATAAAATAAAAAAAAGGCCTATTGTAGAAGACCTGAATGAGCCCCTAACACTTTAGTAAAGTTAGGTAGCGTTATCATTGTGTTAATGTAGGTGTCTAAATTCAACCTATTTGAATGGTTTGATATATTGTATTATTGCATTTTTAATATTAATAAAGAAGTCTTTCTATTAATTTTTGTTATTTATAAATTGATAGAATTAGATAGAAGTACATATGATATGCATTGCGATCATGATTGATTAATATATATGAAACAAACATCAATATACATAAATAATATCATTAAATATCACAAGTCATAGCATTTTTAAGATTGGATATTGACAATATGCGGTAAGACTTGTGAGTGCTATTCTCTTGTTATAAGATAGTAATAGGAGATCTCACACTTACCGGCATAGTAATACCAAAATAATCACACGAGTGAATAATATTAGAGAACATATCACTTAGACATGACTCGTCATGAGAAGCCATTTGGTATAGTTTATAAGAATCTCATACAAGATGGGTACAAGTAGTCCTTTAACTTGAAGTCATCACGGTTATCTCATTAAAGGATTTGTACCTTTTGACATTCATTTCGATGGGCTCGGTAAAGAGCTACATGTAGACGATTCGTTGGGTGCATAAAAAATCTAATGAAGATAAATGGATAACCGAGATAGGATATGTCATTCCTTATATACTAAAAGAGTTATCACATTGCATTTTGATGAATATCTGCTAACGAATCCATGGCCACAAAAGAATCATACTCTATTGGAATACTTGAGAGCTAAGACATTTGGAGATCGAAGAAAATTTGTGTGATCATGATCAAATAGACAACAAATCAAATTCAAATCACACTATGATAAATTGACATGAGGACTAAATTGTATGAAAATCATACTCGTGAAAGGTTAGTACGGATTAAGTAATCCTTCTAGATAATTAGGTACTCATGATGTCTTGCTTAGAGGCCAATCTTGATTTATGTATCGAGAGATAAAATAAGTGTCTTGTACTTCTTGATACATTACCAACATATCTAGAAGTCTATTGAGTCGTACGTATAAGTTGAAAGACTCACATGAAAAAAGAAAAATGAAGAAATTGGAAAAAGTTTCCTATTTTGGAAAATCAATTTCCTAAAATGAAAATCAATTTCTTAATTTGAAAACTAGTGTCCTAAAATAGAAATTAGTTTCCTAATTTGGAAATCAATTTCTTATTTTGAAAGTCGATTGCCTATTTTAGAAAATTGAAGATCGGTTTCCTAATTAGGTTCTATAAACTGCAAAGGTGATTTAGGAAATTGTTTCGTGATATAGGCCTCCCTTAAATACCCAATCCGAGCTTATTTGAATCGTTCAAATTAATTACCGAGTTATTGGATCGAAGGAGTTTGAGCCAACGAGCTTAAGTGAAAGCTTCGTGGGGATATTTTAAGTGGAGGAGTATTTTTGAGAACTTAAGACAAAAGTTCATAAGACCAAATTCGGGGTTTATAAGGATAAGATTCATCAAAACCACATAAGACATAACTCCCTAACCGAATAGGAAGTTACCGCATATATATAAAGAGAGAGAGAGATGCAATTTGCTACAAGAAAAAGGGAGAGATAACAAAACGAAAGAAAAATTATGCCTCTCTCCCGTAAAAGAAAAATTGCACCGCTTCCTTAAGTGATTTCTTATGAGAAAAAAAAATTGAAGCTAGCACTTTGGAATTTCTATCGCTTCTTGTGGGTGTTTAACTATGTGAAAAATTAATAGAGATGGACAATTGCACGAGTTCAATCCATAAATTAGAATGCGCACCTGCAAGAGGTAACATCTAATCTATCTTGTTAATATATAGTTAGTTGATTCAACGACCGATCTTGTGACTTTAGACGAAAGAGAACAAATTTTTTGTTTATTCTACGCCTCCATAGGATGCATGATCATTCACGTTAAAGCCTATGTCATCTTATTCTTATAAGTTTCAATTGAGCTTCGGATGTCCACTCAAACTTATCTTTCTTTAATAATTTAGTGATAGGTACGATAATGATACTAAAACCATGAATGAACTCGCGATAGAAAGAAATAAGGTTTTAAAAGCTTCTCACGTCGGTCATGGTCTTAGGCATGGCCAATTAAAAATAGCCTCAATCTTTACCTTATCCATCTCAATCCCATTATTATTTTATGAGTCCATGTGATATATGGATCCATATTTCATTAGACTAATTTAATTAAATCCTAACTGAATGTGGATTGTATAAAATCTAAGTTATTTAATTTTAGGTTAGGTTTGGCCTAGGGAGGAGTTTAACCTTAGCTGAATGAGCCGAGGATTATTTAAGCAACCCTTACTTGCTTTTGTTAGGAAGTTTTGCAGCATATTGACAATAAACGAGTAATATCTTTCTCATATTATAAGTGACCGTGTAACATTTTAATGAGTGGAAATGGATTGTAGTAAAATGAAAATGGATTTAGAAAACGATGTATTTGTGATTTTGCTTTATCTTCTCCATTGATTCGTAAGAAGGTTCAATCACTAATAAAGGACGGTTCAAAGCCACTCCACCATAGTTATAGGTAGAATACGCTAAAGGTACATTTTCCAACTTAGAGATAACATTAATTCAATGGAGCCCACCTCAAATTTTTTGAACTTATAACAAAGAAAGATAATCTTAATCCAATGGGAGAGAGAGGAATGGTAACAACAACAACAATAATAATAAATAATATCAAGAGTAGTCAACGAGAATGAGAGAGACCATAGCTCACATTGTATGGTGTATATATAAGAAAAGAAATTTAAGACTTTTAGAAGAAGAAAAGATTGGAAAATTGTAGAATTTTTCATTATTTTTCATTTTCTCCATGTGGCAAATTAATTTGATGTGTCATGTTATGTAAAATTTTTTATGTCAACCGATAATTTTGATAAAAATTGTAATTCAAGAAAGCATTTCCAGTCCAACGATTAAGGTAATTACTTTCCCTATTCATTTACTTTTTGCCTTTTTTTTTTTTTGATTGCTTAGCCAGGCTTTTAGAATTTTTTTTTATTTTGGTCCTTTTTTTATAATATTTTTTATTTTGGTCATTAAAATTTTATTATATTTGATTTTTATCCCAATAATAAATATTTTTTTCTTGACTTTTAGTAAAAATTTATGTTCTTTTTTTATTCTTATTTTGTGATATATTTTTATTTTAGTTATTAAATTTTTATTATGTTTGATTTTTATCCTTACTATAATAAAACTAGATATTTTATTATATTTGATCTTTATCCCTATAATAATTTCTTTTCTTGGCTTTTAGTAAAAAATTATGTTCTTTTTTTATTCTTATTTTGTGATATATTTTTATTTTAGCTATTAAAGTTTTATCATGTTTGATTTTTATCCTTTCTATACTAAAACTAAACAAAGTTTACTATCGTAAACTTTTTTTTTTGTATTATTCACTTCTTCTTCTTCTTCTTTTGCCCTCACAAGGTACTATTCACTCTTAGGTGTGTGTGTGTGTGTGTGTTTTTTTTTTTTTTTTTTTTTGTAATTTTCACTCTTATTTTTTTTCCTTAGGCTTTTTTTTTAATTTTTAAATTATTTCATTTCGACCCCTGAAATTTTAAAATAAAAATTTCAATCCCTAGCTAATGCACTACATGCCTTTTCTTCTTTTTTTTCCTTTGGTTTTTTTCTTTGGTTTTTTCCATCAATTTATGCTCTTTTTTTTATTTAATTGGGTGTTAATATTTTTAAAAATCAATTGTTACTTTTTTTCACACAAACTAATGATTATATAATATATATTGATCAAATGTATGTACTTTAAAAAAAAATCTTCTCATCAACATTAAATAAGAATAAAATTTTATTTTTTTATTGGTTAATTTTTATGCAATTCTATACATTAATTGTAACTTTATTTTTTTATATATATTCTTATAAAAAATATATTTTTAAATTCTTAATTAATATTTCATGTTTAAATTATATATTACCAGTTTTTATATAAGAATCCCTAAATAAAGAAAAATAAATCATGTTTTTTTAAACAAAAATTTTATGAAAAAAAAATAGTAATAGTTAAATAAAAAATCAATAAAAAATTATTAAATTTTGAAATAATTTTGTTCTATCTACCCGTAGCGTTGCACATATAATTTCAAAAATTAATCCTCTCATCAGCATCAAATAAAAAAAAATTCCATTTGTTAGTTTTTATAAAGGTTTATCTATTAATTATAAATTTATTTTTTGGAATACAATATTATGAAAAATATATTTTCAATTTTTTTAATTCTTGATTAATATTTTAATTAAAATCAATCCATAAAGAATAATGATTTATGTTTTTTTAAGCAAAAAAATTTATAAAAAAACATTAAAAAAATTAATTAAATAAGAAAATATAATTTAAAATTTTAAAATGATTTTATTCTTTCGGACTGCAAGTGTAACGCAAGCAACCGAGCTAGTACTAATCGAAGTGGACATATGGTCGGATACGGAGAAGGTTATTAAATGACAGGAACCAAAGAGCTTATAGGTCAATAGTAGTGATCTCTTGAAACAAGAGGTCACAGGTTGAAATCCTAACATACTAGTTTTGTTAGAAGTCTTGGGTGTTTGAGTTTTTTTTTTAAAAGTTATTAAACTATAGGGGGACTATTTTGTCTTCCGGTCAAATAATGATCCAATAAAGACAAATTTGAGAGTAAAAGCATGGTAGTAAACAAATAAAAATATGAAAAAACTAGTACAAAATCAAGAATAGACTAGCATAGTGAATCTTTTAACCATATAAAATTATTAACAAAACACTAAAAGAATTAGGCATTTTGAAGGTGATGAATATTGCATTTTATCTCACTGTAGCACTATTTACCCATACTCATGAATACTATTCATATTATTATAATTTTTTTTATCTTTATTTAAGTATTTGAGATGATATTGTTGTATTTTTTTGGTTTTTGTTCAAACATTTGATATGTAAATTATAACGAATATTACACTTTGATCCTTAATTTTTTTAAAAAATTTTGTTTTTATTTTCAGTTTATTTATTTTGTGATTTGTTCTTTAAACGTAAAGAGAATTAAAGAGAGAGAAAACCATAATAATGTGCATTTAATTAACTATCAATCTTAGCTTTAATTTGTTCATATCGAAGAAGGGATCTAAAAATATTTTTGAGTTTTTAAATTTGATTTTTTATATGCATTAAAATCAGTTTTAAATTTATAAACAATTTTTTTTTATCTCATTTCAGTAAATTTAAGGTATTTTGACGCAAAATAACTCTATGACTGAGTTTAGGAGGCCAAAAACCGATAAATCATGATTTTTTTGACGAAGATTCTGACAAGTTCAAGTTCATTAAAGTTGCATACTGATGATGCGTGGTCTGCTTTGTATAGTGCGAGCAATTGTCCAAATTTGTTTTTAAGTGGATGGGCTGCGCAGGCCTAGTTTTTGCATGCCTGGCTTGGTTTATTTTTGTTTTTTTAGCAATTTGTTTTAATTTTTTTATTAGTGAATTTGATGAGAAAATTATGAAAAACAATAATTTTTTATTTATTTTCAATACAGTTCGATAAGAAATAAATATATATGACATTTTTTAGATTTTTTATATTAATATATTAACAACTATATTTAAAAGAAAGAATTCAAGTGTTTTATTTGCTTTTTAATTTAGTCGATTTACTTCAAATTTATTCAAGTATTTCTTCCAACTTAAGTATTTTTATGAAAAATATTTTTCATTTTATGTTGCACCTATGGATCCACTAGATATAATTATTTTGTATAAAAATATTGAAATATTGATTTTATTAGAAATTAATAATGTATATTTGCTTAAAATACCAGTGATTTACTATTTATTTATTTATTTATTTAAATTCTAAAATTAATTTCTTTCAAATAAAATAATTGCATTGTTATTTTAGAAAAAACCATAATGAATCAAATATTTTTTTTTATGTTAATATTATTTATTATTTTATGGATAAATATATATAAATCAAATATATATACGCTCACAAAATAATTTTCTCATCAATAGTTAATAACCATTACTTTATTTGTTCGATACAATCTTATAAAAAATATTATTATATTTTTTAAAATCTTAGAATAAGTTTTTTTTATCTAAATTATTATAAGTTTTTATTTAAGAATCCAATACATAAAGAATAATAAATTATTTTTTAAATAGAAAATTTATAAAAATGTAAAGAAGAATTAATTAAATACAATTTTTTTTAAGTTATAAAATTAGGTGATTTTTTTTTCACTTTTAATTTTTATATATTTTAATAGCCCCTCACAGTATGACTCAATCTATTAAATTAAAATAATTTTTCAAATGTTTATTTATTTTTTCTGATTTGTAACTTGGTTCGCGGGCAACAAATTAGTTTAATTTATATTCATAAATAAACAAATAAATAATCATCTGTTCTCTAGCCTAAAATAACTTGACTACGCTTGCCAGTACCAACCAATATCAAATCCAAGCTCAAACGAACGCACGTCCTCCCACATCCCTTACCAATAGCATATTGCCACGTTTTCAACAAAACTCACCCTAACCCTACCTAATAACCGGAGTTATCCCTTTATAAAATCAAAGTTCCAGTTTTTTTTCACAAGGTTCCCAAAAACACACAAAAACCTTCTCTACGTCTCTCTAGAAGCCTCTCTCTATCTTTACGGTCGCCGCCTCTATTATTCACCATGCCTCGCCGAAGCTCTGGAGGTAAGATTTTTACTTAGATCTGCTAATTGCTTTCTGGGTTGTGTTTATTTCTTGATTTCGTGCGTTCATTTTTTCAACTTCTGGCTTTAGATTTGAGAAAACATAGGCAATAATTCAAATTTAAATTGTCTTTTTTGTTTTTGGGTTTTTTTTCGATCAGAGAGGCTGTGTTGTGTTGATTATGTTTGTTTTTTTAGTTTTTTATTTTTGTGTTAGTTGTTTAATTCGCGAAAGTTAATATCGAGCGTAAATTCGTTCCTTTTTATCTGCATAAATCTTGTAAGATGCCTAATTGGTTTGGATTTCCATGTTTTTGTTTATGTAAGTAAGTGGGTAGCTTTTCATGTTTTTATTGTTTTATTTAACCCCGAGGATAAAAACTTGGACATTTGGATGCTGATGTTTTTCAGTTTTCAAAATTTTGGATTGATGTGATTGATTCACTTGCTGGATACCATATCTAATCCTCACCGTTCAACTATTTTGGATAACTTTGAGCAGTTCTTTGTGGGTTTCCAATCGTTTTTTTTTTTTGTATGTTATTTGTTAGATACCATATCTAATCCTTATGGTTCTACTATTTTGGATAATCTTGAGCAGTTCTTTGTGGGTTTCCAATCATTTTTTATACGTTATTTGTTGGATACCATATCTAATCCTTAAGGTTCTACTATTTTGGATAATCTTGAGCAGTTCTTTGTGGGTTTCCAATCATTTTTTTATACGTTATACGGTGGTTGTTAATCAATTGTGCCATGAAATACTGATGACTCAACTTTTGTACAAATAATCCACCGTTTTTAGCAGGAAGATCTGCCCGCCCAGCTCCTCGTCCTGCACCAGCTCGCAGCCCACCTCCCCAAACAGGTAATGTTGTTCTGCAGAGTCTTGCAGCTTATTTTGAAGGTTACAAAACATTCTAAATACAGACAAGAACAGATTTAGGTTTCCATGTATCACATTTTTAGTTTTGGAGAAAGGATTTTTATTGCAATTTTACGTTCTCATCTTAAATTTGGTGTTGGTTTTTTAAGCCTAAATTGGCTTTAATGTTTTTTTTTTTTTTTTTTTGGTTCTTTTTTTGTGTTCTGATGCAGTTAACCATGCTCCTCCACCAGCTCATGCTCAAAGTAGTGGTGGTGGATCGTTGCTTGGAGGCATTGGTTCAACCATAGCACAGGGTAAGTGAAAAAATGGAACATTGCTGTCTTGGATTGATATCCTCAATTTAATGTTATTTATTGGGCATGTTATGTTTGATTTGAATCAGCATAAATCTTATCCTTTCTGTTATTCTGTTCTCTCCCGCTACAGGCATGGCTTTCGGTACTGGAAGTGCAGTGGCACACAGAGCTGTAGATGCTGTGATGGGTCCTCGCACTATTCAACATGAAACTGTGGGGTCTGAGGCTGCAGCTGCCCCAGCACCTGCTGCAAGCAGTATGGTTGCTGATGCATGCAATATCCACACCAAGGCATTCCAAGATGTATGTAGACTTTTCTCATTTGGTTACTTATTTGCAAAGATGAGGCATATTAAATTAATGATATTTATGAAATGCCCTTTATCTTGTTATTTCTGTAGTTGTAAAATTGCTTGGAGAAATCTTGTGTGTGACCCCAAAGTTTTACAAATAATGCTATTCTGAACTGCCATATTTTTCAACCTTACTCCCAATTTTTGTCATGCATCCTCTCTGTGTTTAATTTGAACCAGTGCTGTGTCCAAATGACTTGACATGTTGATGTATAGATGCCTATCGAATGATTCCTGGACTAGGGTCCTGGAGGTAGGGATCCACAAGAATAGTAAAACAATCTGCTCAGCTGGGTCATTGTGAGAACAAGTTATTCAAAACAGATTTTGGACTCTTCAATATGAGCATGATAACTTGGGGGGTTTCGTTTACAAAATGCTTCCTTGTTTTTTTTCTTTTATTTTTCGTTCCTTTTCTGTTCTGCTTGATGTTTCCTGTGATTTTTTCTTTTAATGTTATACCCAAATTTAGGTTATTTATTGTTCCTGCATTGACATTAGTTTTGCTTGTCTTCTTTGCAGTGTGTGAACAACTTTGGAACTGATATCAGCAAGTGCCAGTTCTACATGGACATGTTGGCGGAGTGCAGGAAGAACTCAGGCTCTATGTTGAGTGCCTAAGTGTTATCCCTTTGCTTTGCCATGAAATGGTGTATTGGCCTTGAACTTGATTTCTATCATGATTTATGCACGTGACAAAGATAACGCCGTAGTCCATCTATGGTAAATTTAATAATTTTTGTGGTGCGCTACTGGATGCTGAAATTTAAGTACTCGACCTTTTTTTATTATTATTGAAACTAGGTTATCTGTGATTTGTTCCATCTCAATTGCATATACATTTGATTGATTGCTGATGGTTGATCTCGAATAACTAAGACAGTAATTTAGTTTTGTTGTCAGCTTTCCTGGTTTTTTTAACGATTCAGACATTTCTGAAATATCATCTCTTATTCTGAAATATTAAGAGTTCATTTGCACGACTTGAGAACATGTGTTTTGAGGTATAAAGTTATTTTTGATGAACAAATTATGGCAAATAATTTACGTTTGAAGTATATATGGCAAAAAATTGATTGGTAAGTTATAAATAAGTTCCTATAGTTTTAAGAAATGAATTTAATTTTTGTTTTAAAATCCAATTATTTAGTTTCTGTATTTTAAAATTTTCTTGTAACTAATTTTTTTTGTTCTTTTTCAACTTATTTTGATTTTTCTACTAAAAAAAAAAAACAAAACATGAAAAAAATTTGAAGAGAAAGAAAGATATTTTTAAAATAAATTAATATTAAATTAAATGCAATAGATCTTGGTTTATGAACTAAATATTTATTTTTTAAAATAAAAAATTATTTAATATAAATGATTGGTTTTTAAAATAAGATAGATTAATTAATATAAATAATTAATTTTTGAAATAAAGAAGACTAACTAATCAATAAACTAGATGAACTAATTTATAATTTGCTGAAGAGTTGTGATTTAAAGATTTTTTTTTTCTTTTCTTTTAAGAATGGGGATGGTATGAATATAAAATCAATATGTAATAGTTTAAAATTTAATTGGGCATTATTTCATTATACCTGTTTTAGATCTGAAATCGGAGTGTACCTATGGAGTTTAAGGTTAGAAATGCATTTAGTATCAATAATGGCCGATGTCTAGAACACAGATCCAACAAAGTTAGCTTCTATCTGTCCTTTCCGCCATTTATAATGCATGTTAAGAAAATTGGGAACTGACATCTTTTTGGAATGGGCAGTTTATCTCTTTTTGATGCTGTAGAACACTATAACTAGGGAGTGTAAAAAGGGCAATGGTTTATTCTCTGTAATATGATTTCAAGTAGTCTCTGTAATGTGAATCAAATCTGAAACTTTTGGAACCTGGGATGAAAGGGAGAGAGGACGAAATGCAGAGAAGATGGAGAGGGAAACAGAGTAATAAGCCTGACGTATGAGAAGGGTAATAAGATTTTGAAAAAGGTTGTAGTCATTGCCTAAATGAAAATATAATAAAGAGTAAATTACCTTAACCTGTGACATAAAATTATAATGATTATCTCAAAATTTGAATTCTAAAATTTATGTGAATATTACAAAAATTCCTTTGAATACAAAAGAAAAACAAAATTGTTGTAATAATTTTAAATGATTGCTGTAATTTCATGATATGTCTGAAAAAAGCTACAGTAATTCATCCTATAATAAAATCAAAATTCAAGGGTCACGGAATTTGAATTTTAAAATAAAAAATTATAGCCTATAACAAATTAGTACAAACTAGAACTCGCCGGCTCCTCTCCCAAACTCTTTGCAATAAAGTTAATTGTAGTAATCTTCTACAGAGAGGGGAGCTCTATCTTCTTCCCATATGTCCTCCAAAGAGAAAACTGTTGAATACCATGCTGTTGAATTTGTCAAATCCCTTTTCGGCCTTGGCAACAGCTTTACCACAACAAAAAAAAAGGCACCAGATCACTGAACTCTTGCACCAATATAGATTGCCCAACATTATAGGCATACCCACCAGTTCACCACAAAAACCACCAACGCTTTATCCTCTTGGCACCCTTTGATCCAATCTAGATCTGCATCCCACATCCCAGCGTTGATCTCACAATCGACGGTGCTCATGAGGCTGGCTTTAATCTCAATTGGATCAAAGAATAATGTGGTGCCTTTTTGGTTAGTGAGACAAAGATTGAAAGTGTTTGCAAGGGGTGTTGCTTGGTGAATGGCGACTTATATAAGCAATACTGTTGCTGTTAGTTGTGCGAGTGTTGAATGATTAACCCAAAATGATAGAAATAATACGACTGAACAACTATATATTTGATGATTTTTTAATTCCAAAATTTTAGGAGGATTTTTATGTTCTTGAAAACAAAAAGAGCAGCTATCCATTCCCTGAAGCATTTCTCCCCTTTCCATTGTTTGGAATGTGATTTAGTGATTTGTGGAGTGGTAGCGATGGAGTTGTTAATTGTTATTGGTTTATCAAGCCAATTTTCAGCTGTGATTTTAATGTTCTTGGATTTCCCTATTTTGCTAGACGGTACACAAGTAGGAAACAATTGTTAGTTGATGGTCTACTTGGAGGGTAACCAACCCTCCACTGGCAATACACGCTCTTTCATTACTACTAGGACTTCTTATATGCAAGACTTTTGAGTAACTGGACTAGAGAAATCTAAGCAACTAGCAGACCCACTAGTTTAAAACGTGGGCACGTACCGAAATCAACTGATCATGACCAAATTTATCGAAGACTTTTAGTCTTTGGATATGGACCTAAATGAGTCGAATCAAGTTTCATTTCTAACATATCTCACGTAAGACGATAGCCTTAAAAAGAGAGTCAGACAATAGATAAATTTTGATCTTTAAAGAATAGAATTCACTCTCTATACTGCCATGGTCCTAGAGCTTTGTCTTTTCGGCACATCTCCACCAATTGCTGCAACGTTGGCAAGGTCTCCACTTCTTCTCTTATTTGTGGGAGCCATTGTGGAACTGGTGCAGAAATTGCAGCCGAAAGTCACCTTTTCATCTCTTCTTCATAAAGCTTCCGCAATTTTATTCTTTGCTCTTCTTTTCTACTCAATGACAAAGTCATAGCCCACTAACTTTGCCAACTATTTTCCTTACGTCTCTGTGGTTATCCTCTGCTTCCAAAGAAATTTTAAACTCCTCTGGTCCGCTCGTACAGTGAAAAATCCGCCATGTAGGTAACCTCCATCTCTGAACAGGCAAAACAAGTGAAAGCATCTCCTTCTCGTAGGTGGATATGTAAAGGTTTTTGCCCTTTAATGCATGGCTAAAAAACCAATAGGCCTATTATCCTGCATTAGAACACCATCAATACCACTACCAGAAGCTTTCAATGATAAAGGACTTCAAAAAATTTGGCAAAGCGAATGCTGGGGCACATCTCATGGCATGTTTCAGTCTTCGAAGGCTGCCTCTCCGCGCTCATCTCACTCAAACCCATTCTTTTTTAGCGTATTCGAGAAAGGTTCGGCAACCTTGCCATAATTCTGGATAAACTTGCTATAATATCCCCAAAAAAAAGAGCTTTGAGAGTGGATGGCTTCGGCCAATCTATCATTGCTGAAATTCTCTACTTATCAACTGCCACTCCTGCATGAGAAATTATGTGGCCCAAGTACTCGACTTTTTCCATCCAAAAGCTGCACTGTTCTCTCATCACATACAACTCGTTAGGTTGTGTTGGGGAGAACAAGAGAAAAATGGGTTTTGATGTTGGATTAGATCGAAAAAAAAAGGCAGAATATAGTTTGTGTTTTTATATCTAAAATTATTAATTTTTTTCCTCTTTCTTTTCAGTTTTTTTTTTCGAATTTTTTTTTCAGTTTATTTGTCCCGTGTCAATTTTATATGATATGGCATTATAGATGTCAAATTTTCTGCCACCTGTCATATTTATTTGAAAAATTGTTCAAAAAATCATCAAACGAACTATATTTAAAAAATATAAAGAATAAAAAAAATAAATGAATTAGATTAAAAAAAATATTAAGAATATAGAAACGTTATTAATCCATATTAGATATTCTATATTCTAATATTTGCAAGAGGTGGAATATGCAACTAGTTTCATTTGAATCCGTTTTCTTTCCTTCGTTTGTAACATACTAACATGTACAAACTTGTGGCAAATCTTTGCTTAGTTGTTTTTCATTAATTAAAGCTCTCATTCACACACACATATATAGGAGGTAAATTAAAATATTTTAAAAGATTCGTAGCCATATCAGATAAAAATCAAGTTAAAATCAGAATTCTGTAATACGAATGAAACAATGAAAAAACCACAAAAAAAATTGTTGTGAAGCAGATCGTTGTTTCTCTTGTGGCCGAAACGGCTATCTGCGCAGGCTGCAATTGTAAAAGCGCATTTTTAAACAAAGGCCACAGCCCACAATTACAAGGCTAAAATAAGAGCGTCAAATCTAAAATGGCGGAAAGGGCATTATTTAGAAGATTAAATATTAATAGCATATTTAGTTAATGGGCTAATCATATTTTTTAAATGCTTGGCTGTTTTCATGCTACAAACCGTTCATTCGAATTTTTTAATGCCCATTGACTAAAATAACGTGGATTTATAAAATAATACCTCTTCCTGCTAAGTGCCAAGCACCGCCCTCGAGTGGCATTAAACTTGTTAGTCAAATATACGGAAACGAGTAAAGATCAAAGTTCTCCAAAGGGGCCCATGGAAAATTAGTCAAATTGAAAGCTCACTTGCGTGACAGTCAAAGGCCATATGCATGAATCTTTTAATACTCGGGAATTATTTTGGATCTTTCGGCTTTACTAAAAACTTGTACGTGGATTTTAAAAAAAATAATAATAATTGAGAACCAAGTTCGAGAACCTATGCTAGTAAATTATAAATTAATCCCACTTGTGCCAAAAAATAAATTAATTTATTCTTCTAGTTTTAAAAATTATTATTTAATTTTTTAATTAATATTGATTATATTTAATTTAATAATATTTTTATTTTATAATCATATATCTTCTTATCAATCTTTCCATAATTTTTTTTATTTTTTTAAATATAAATACTAAATAGGTAGTTTTTAAAATAAAAAGGATTAATTGATTCATTTCTAGAAATGGGAGGGACTAATTTATAATTTATGCTGCAAAATACCCATTTCTTTAAAAATCAGTTGCTTGCATTTTTTAAAATAATTCCAACTTTGCCGATAAACTATAGTTCAACCTTAACATAGTTAATTTTGATTTGTATGCGAACTTGGGATCTGGCATAAATCACTTCAATTCCTAACAAACTTGACCCAAATGCACGACTAACTTGTCCAAGGCATGTAAGCTCCGGTTTACCATAAATTGCTCGCTGCCTAGCCAACTTAAACTAAGCTTCTTCAAATGTTTCTTCCAAAACTATTTCTTATTTACAAGTCAGTTATTTTTTAAAATGAAAAAAAGTAGTCAACCCTTGAGAAAGTTGATGCACAGTTTCTTCCATGCCTCCCTGTCTGGTTCTGTCGCCTCCACATTTGCCTTAATCTCATCAGCATATGAGTCCTGAATAGTACATACATTTATAATCTCATCAGCGTATGATTTTGTTGGATCAAAAAATTAAGGGTTGATATCAATTTGAAATTGAAGAGCACACGCACCACTATAAAATTATGTTGCAGAAGACGGTCAATCAAGTGGAGAAGAATGTCTTTGGTGTACTCAGGGTGACCTTGGATGCCCAAGATGTGGTCCCCACATCGGAACATCTCGATCCCGGTCTTATCAGACCTTGCAATCACCTCAGCTTTAGGAGGAAGTTCCAAGACCTACAGCATTACAATACGTTGCAACACATTGGAACATATCCATAAAAACATAAAATAATGATGATGATGATTTGGTGTTCCCAAGTTTATTTTTTGATCAAACAAACCTCATCTCTATGGCATTCGATCACAGAGAGTATGGCTGGCTTTTTCACTGAGGAGAAGAGCTTTGATGAAGACGAAAAATTGATGGTTGTTATCCCTATATCCCACCCTGAGATGTTGCGTCCAGTCTTTCCCCCCAATGCGCGGCATAGTATCTGATCAAAACCATAAAGCATTCTCTCAGAAGCACAACAAGTTGTTATTGGAAAATAATCATATCAAGTTTAGAGCTAATGTTTGCTTTGCTTCATGGGATTATTTCTTCGCCATTTTATAGGTCCACCCAATAAAACAACCTTTTCTGCAAATTAATATTGTGATATGGACTTGCACTTAATTTGTCAAATGTTGCAGAGAAAATACACACCATACGCCCACAATTGATATCAATCAAGAAGCGACAACAGAAATTGCAACAGGAAAGCACTATATACGTCATAAAAATGCTAAATAGCCCATCACAGACATTGATAGAAAAACCCAAAAGGCAAATGTCCTTAGTTTCCAATTATATGATATATATCTATTATCTAGCCTTCAAGGGTCGCAATGGTTTCCATTAAAATTTGTCGACCGACAAATCTTATCTTACAGTCTTTTATCAAGGATGGCTACAGATTTGCTTTTGTCCGCCATCGGACCCTGCTACATATCCATGCTTTATTTTAAGCTGTTGTTTAGGTCCAGTTTATTTCTTCCCTAGAAAGCACACTGGCTGTTGGTGGCGAAATCATTCACAAATGTATAACATGTGTCCGTGTCCCTTCTATGTGGACCCCTATCCAACTAAAAGCCAAAAAATCCAACTACTTTATGCAATCCACTTTAAAAAATAAATTTTGAGAAGAAAAAAAAACAGGCAAAGTTGAGATTAGATTGTAAAGATCGACAAAAGTTATTAAATATAAAAATATACATCATAATGTTACAGATCAATTGTTCTGCAGTTTTATATGCTCAAACCCCAAAAACAACGCAGAGCCAGATGGATGCTTGTGTTTGGCCATTCCTATAACATCTGGGAAATTTATTAATGCATGGCGCAAGCACCGTTTTCTTAAGGAAAAGACGGTTGTCTTGTCACCTTTTTTTTTTTTTTTGAAAAGAAAGTAAGTTAGAAATTTATCAATAAATGAAATAATAAAGTTGAGTAAAACAACTGCGGAACTATTGCATGTCATTCCCACATCAGTGGAAATGGATGGTGAACCAAATAAGGCATAAAAGTGTTAGCTGCTATATCATCTAACAACAAGGTCAGAATTAGCGGTGATGAAACCCTCGTACATAAGTTATTTTCCAAGTAGGACCACACTGAAACTACTTGTAAGGATTTTTCCAGCTGCTTGGATTGTCTTCCTATTTCCCTTTCTACTAATTTAAAGGAGTAAATTATAAATTAGTCCTCGATTTAACTAATTCTTCTAATTTTAAAAATTAATTATTTACTCTGTTTTGTTATTTTTAATTTATTTTAATTTTTATTTAAAAGGTAACAATATGAAAAAATTGACCAGAAAAAAATCATTTTATAAAAAAACATTAAATTAGTCACTGTCAATACTAATATATAATTTACTCTAATTCAAGCCTTCGTCTTATTCCAATTTTTAATTTATTTCCTCCAAAAATTAAAGAGCCTTTTTGACTGGCCATGCACACTGAAAATTAAAGATTTGAAAACTGGCAACACTCCCCCAGGCATTAACATTCAAGCTCAAAATAGCTTTTGCCTTTTCTGTCTTCAAATATCTAAAATTCAAATAAAGATTAATCCAGTGATATCTTTTTCCTCCTAAATAGTAAGTGAGGACAATATGATAAGATTTGTTCCAAATCTAGCCCTTCCTAAGATAAAAACTAAAAATATTTCGGTGAAAACGAGAATGGTAATTATTTAAGTAATTAATGTGAGTGCGAAATTAAAAAAAACAAGATTAAAATAAAATAAAAACTCAAAACACAGTCCATAGGACGACAAACGTGACAATACATGAAACTGTAAGGACGCAAAAAAAATTATTATGAATGTGATACTGATGCTAAAAAAATAAAAGAGTACTAAATCAATAATTACCTGGTGTCCGAAACAAATACCCAAAATCTTTTTCTTAATGGAATCCAATTTCTTTAACAGATTCAAAAGTTTGCAGATCCAAACATCATTGCCATGAGCATCATTGCAGCTTCCAGTGATCACAAATCCATCGAAGGTCTCAATTTCATCATCTTCAGGGAACTCTCCAGAAACCACCCTGTAAACATCCCATGTCTCTCCTTCTTCAGCCAACATTCTCACAAACACCCCAAAATACCCTCCGTACATCTTTTTCACATATTCTGAGTCCTCTGCACACAACAATACCGCAAACCGCTTGCCACCCATGTTTTCTTTCGCAGCAAAAGACTCCATCTTTTTTACAGTCGATATGAAAAAATGAGACTTCCTCTCTCTAAAAATGAAGGTCTTTTTTAGAGAGGGAAATATAGAGCAGCTGAAGGGTTTCTCTCTCTAAAATGGATCTTAGAGAGAGAAAGAGACAGGCAGAGAGAATTTGGGGGTTTTGTTCTCTCTTTGTTTGTTTTAGACGTGTTTTTTTCGTGAAATTAAAGATTGATGGGGTTTTGTCTAAGAAAACAAGCTGTATATAATAAGGATGGGTTTGTAACTAAGTCATGTTTTTTAGTCTAATTTACAACTGTATCCTGATTGATTTGTATACCAAATTAGCCCAAATTTTGTGAATGGTTCCTATGTTCAGCTTTTTGTTGGTGGGATTCATTTTTGTGAATCTGACTGGATTCATGTCTGAATTTAAGACAAATAAAGTATCTCTTTTACATCCCGTTCAAATTACCATCATCCACTGACCTTTTTTAACATGATACGATCAGTGGCCTAATCTTTACTTCCATGCTTTTCGCATCCAAAAACCATTTTGTTAAGATAATCATTGATAGGTCACGTTTAGGAAATATAGATGTTCTAAAAAAACAAAAAAAGAAATATATATATAACCGCATGTTTATGTATATTTTATTTTATTTCCACAATTACTGTTCTGTTTACATTTTAAAAAAAGAGAAATTAAACCCACTAAAAAAATTACTTACCCTTAACAATCCAGGATCGAAAATGTTGTATATGCAGAGCTATTTTAAAAGTCAAATTATATTTATTGGAAATTAATAATTGTATTATTTTTGTAAATTAAAACTAAATTTATTTCACCTGTAACGAATGGTCAACTTTTAATTTCCATAATCATCAATATCGCACATAGTTGTGGACAAGAAACCACATAATTGGAAGTCAAATCCAATTTGCATGTTTTATATTTTAGAAAATAAACTAAAGCAAATGATGTAGAGTAAAAACTCAATTTGTCATTATATAATATAATAATCTAAGTTTTTAATTTATGTTTCTAATTGCAAATGTTATATTTTTTAATAATATCTAGTTAATCAATTTTTTCAATATGAACAAATTTAGAATAGTAATTGTAGGAGAGTAGCTGGGGGTGGTAATTGTAGATATTAATTTAAAACAGTAACTTTTCAATATTTTACTATCTTATTTGACGAGGGACTACATTGATCATCGATAATCCGTCACAAATTAGTCAGTAGTCCGTTGTTAATATCCATATCTCGATGACAATTATAATTCGTTTGCTAATTTGTCTTTATTTAGTTATGGTTTTAATCTGTTGTTGATTTCCGTCACTAAATTGCAGATTTTATACAATGACCGGGGCTATTTCCTATGAGAACAAGGTTAATTCTATAGACCACTTATAAAAATTGAGATCAATCACAAAGCTGTAACGTGTTGTTTTTAAAACTTATCGCAAAATACCTAGATATGATATGTGTGAGATAATATTTTTTCTCTTAAAAAACCTTAGTTCAAGACGAGTGTTCAGCGTGTTTACTATTGTTTTGAGAACAATATTATTGAAACATTAAATAAGAATTCGCTCTCGTTATGTATTACATTTGTTTTCTTATAAGAAAACATGACTAATATTTTATCAAAAAAATAAGTAGGAAATTATTGAAATATCATCCGTTTCAAAAGATTGGAATTGGTTTTGAAACCGTTTTGACAACAGTTTCATAGCAGCCCAATTCACTTAAAAAGGAAATTAAAAAGACGTTATTGTATAAAATTAAACGTTACTTGTCGTTTCGATTTTAATTGTAATAATTTATTATCAAAAACGGTTTTTTTTAACTTTAGCTATATATAGGTAACATTCCTTTTGATAATGAGAGAATATAATGCATATTTGTTATTCTTGGCTATATTGTAGTACCAAAAGAAAAATCAGCTCTCTTGTTTTCTTTTTCAGTCGCCATTTATAAGCTATATAGTTTTTTTTTTTTTTAACAAGAGTGATGTTATTATATTTAAAGTTTCAAATCTTAAAAGTAATGTAAACTTAATAAAACATGATTAGGGACTAAATATGTTGTATTCATGAGATCGTGTGTAATATATTTTTCATCCATTATAAATTATGCGAATAGCGTGTATTGTCTCAAAAAAGTAATCTAATTATATCTCGGGTAAGTCACTTAAAAATTTTGATAAAACTATTTTGATGGTTCGATTATTTTTATATAGCGAAATATAATAACATAATTTTAATCCTAAATTTTTTTATGATCAAAGTAAAAGGTTGTAATTTCTTTATCCATTTTAACTGATGACAAATTTATTTATTATTATATAAAATTTTTTTATTTTTTTATGTCCTAGTAACAACACTATATATATAAAGGAAGTTAGTCTTAGTCTTAGGAAACATGGAAATGAAACCTCATTTAGCCGTTCTTTGCAACGAGGAAAAGCAGCATAAAGGCAGATTGGAAGTTTTAACACGTTTTAATTTGAGATAAGGAAATACTCTTTATAAGGTTCTTATTGAGTTAGAGGAATTATATTCCTTTAATTTTTTTCATAAAAACATAGGATTCATAAATTATTTTCATAATGATTTTTTTTTTTAGAAAAATGAAGTACAATTTTTATTATACCTAATATTTTTTCATTGGAATGCAGATTTGAAAATCACATAACAAACATATGGACTAGTTTATAAAAGAAAAGAGCAAATTAAGTAAGAAATCAACTATAAAAAGAGGTTATAAACTGAGACAAAGAAGTTAGAAATTGATTGTTTAATCGCTTATGATCATGTAAAACAGAAAATTAATTAATTATTGCGAGCATACTTCTGTGATATGATACGATATGATCCAGGCACTAATAACATTAATATCATTCTTCTATATAAAAATAGAGTTTTAATTACTTTAGATTACATTGATGATTATCAGTGGCTATTAAAGCCAAAAAGTCCGTTGATTATTTCTTTTCCTTTGGAAAAATATATATATGTTGAGTGCCGTGGATAAAACAATAAGAGTAATTGCCGTTTTACAATAATATATAGCAGGTGAGCGTCGAGGGATTTCCATTTATGGATGCGTTACGACATAAATGGACAGAAAATGTAGAGAAAGTCAGAAAGCAAACAAGCCATAGACAAGATGTGGTCCATGTGGACAACCATATTATTAAAGTAGGACCAAGTGATACTAAATGATCATGCATTTTCAATCAAATTGAAACATACTCCTAATTTTTTTAAAAAAAATAATTTAACTGTAATGAATATTTTGCACTAAATAATAGTTTTTTACGACTCATTTTTCAGCGTTGGTGGCACATAGAGATTATATAATAGTTTTAAAAATAACATATATCTTATTAACTTAAATTTAAAACACCACATATTTATAATGATATTAATTAATAAAATACGTATTATTTTTTTAAAACTGTTACCCAATGTCATGAACCTATCGGAAAATCAAACTGAATTTTTTGAAAGTTAAAAAGGCTATGACCGCAAAGTTAGAATGCTTTTGGATCAATTATCATTAAAGCAATAACTTATGGTGGCAAGTGGTACCCTATGCTATAAATTTATAGGCCTGTACATAGTTTCAGCCTTTTTTGTGGCACCTTGATTACTGGTCCCAACTCCTAAGACACGCCCTGCAATTTTCTTTTCCCTCTTTTGCATTTTTTGCTGCATTTCTTCTTTATAACTGCGCGCTTTATGTTGCATTTTAAACGCGAACTTGAATTGCATTTTTCTTGCTCAGAATGCTATATGTAGCTTGTAGAGAAACCCCCAAGCAAAGAAATACTTTTGAAAATTTGAGTATCTGATATAATTGTCCTAACAGAAATGGCATCGGGAGATTCTTCTATTGATGTAACTCTTTTCATATACTAAAACATCTCTTAATTAATATTAATCTTTAAAAATATGTATGAAAAAAAAAAGGACAGAGAAAAGGGAGCAACGAATTGATAAAGATGAGACTCAAAACCTAAGATTTCACTTCCTCTGTTTTCACAAATATATCCTTAAACTTCAAGTCTATCGAACAAATAAAATATTTTTCAGGATACTAGAATTATAAATACATACTAATCTCAAAAGTAATTGATTTCAATTTTTTTATTTTGTCATTTTTTAATTATTTCAAAGGAACGTGAAAGTGTCATTTTACCTTCTTAAAAAGAGTCATTTTAGAATTTGAAATCATAAAGCTTTAAATAATTAAGAAACATATCTCACCTTACTTATTAAAAAAAAAAAAAAAATAGAGTGTGGGAGAACACCAAAAAAAAAAAAGACTTTTTCAATTAAAAAAAGGATAAATGACAAAAATCCCTTTAATTAGGTATCAGAAAAGTACTTTGCAGTAGGAAAAATAATACTTTAAACGTAAAAATGTTTACATTACACGGTATAGCCGTACAGGAACTAAATTATAATTGATTAAAATTCTGAAGGAAAAAAAGTAATGGAGGGCAGTAAAGTAAATTAACATGGGAAAATATATTATAATTATTTGGGGAGATTTATTCCTAAATAATTATTTTGTAATTTATCATTAATTGGAAATTTGAGTTTGATCGACATGTCGAAGGCGAGTTATGGGAGGTTACCACGTGATATTCTATCACATCTGTTGCAGTCACGTGTACCACTGATCAAATGTTGATGATACACGTCTGTGGCCAGAATATTTGGCCCGAGTTTGTTCGCTATCAATAAAGTCAATTAATTATCAACTGAATGAGCTCAAACTCACGTGAATCATCCATGAATACACGCAGCTTGGACTTTCTATTGGTTCATATCCTCTAAAGCAACCATGTTTTCAGTGATCGTAACTATTGTCTGATTAACCTTTTTTTTAAATCAATATCAGTAGTGGAAAATTGCCAGCGCTGTTGGTTTGCATTCGGCTTAGTTGAAGCTTATAGTTGGGTGACAAATTGACAATGAATAG